AATGACAGAAAAATTACAGTCCATAGAAGAGAAAAAGGCCAAATGCAGCCAAAAGGCAAAAAAAACGAAAATCTAGTTATTGGCTGTACAAGAGCCAGACTACCAACCTAAAAAAGTCGACTATATTATTTAATGACGTCACGTTCACACAAAGAATACAAACAAAGCAAATGTCTTAAACATGAGATATCCTCGTTATCTTCTTCACAATTCATGATTCAATATGTCTAAACGGAAACTCAAAGGGTAGCAAAATTTTCAATCGGAAACTGCACATACAATTTGTGATATTTTACCATTTTAACCAGCAAATAGCTGAAAATTTATGCTTATGACATGTTTTCGACGAGGATACTCGTCGTTGGCCGTCAAAGCATAGCACACCAATGGCTAATTTTGCATTTTGCCCTTACATAAAGTATCTAAATTTCGCTGCGTATAAGACTATCAGATTTAGAGATAACTTAGCTTTTGATTGCAGTTATTCAACTGCTATGGCCATTGCAAACTGCAATTGACTTAAATCTTACATCTTTGTAGATGTATATCCAGTGGTTGACTGTTGGTGCTCGTATTGACTGACGTTTCGACATTCTTTGCGGTAGTCACTTTTAGAAAACTTGTCCATTTTCATAAGTGATATATTTATTTCATAGTTGCTATAGTCTTTGTGTCTCATTTTAGTTTCACTTTCATTGTCGATAATCATTGTCGTTTGATGCAAAATAGCTGTCTTCTCTTACATTGCATGCGATTTCTGTAAATGGGACTAAGATTTCGGACAATTTTTTACAAAAAACAATGACTTTACAAATAGCTACCTGTACTATTACTTCCTGCTATAACAGAAAATGCTCAGGAACATGAAATTAATTTGTTCTACACATATTTATGATACAACAGACAACACGCTAGCTCTTGTAATGAGTGAATGTCGATGGACGTTCTTCATTGCATGGAAAGCTGAAAAAACAGACAATGACAAAGTCGAAGTTAAGACAATTGAAAATTTCGAAAGTTGGAATGAAGTATTGAAACGGACCTGGGAGACATTGTCTTTACACTTTTTATCTCCCAAGCAACCACTACTCAATTCAGTTTGACGAAAGATTGTTTCCGAGCACTCACATTTATACCAACTTGGGGCAAGGACGTCTTTCTTACTTGAGCAACATACTAAATGAGCAAAAATTACACCAACATAACCAACAAAATAAAGTAATCGTGTTATTTGCTATACCAACCGGTCTCTGTTTAAAATTTGAATACCATAATTCTTCAAAATTTCGTTCAAAGGCTTATGTGTAGATGGCCAATACGTACGGTGGCCTATATCCGCCATGGCAAAATATTTCAATTACAAATCTAAAACATTAGTAACTACGTCATAAAGTTAATACTCACGGCAAAACATATATACTCACGGCAAAACATATATACTCACGGCAAAACATATATACTCACGGCAAAACATATATACTCACGGCAAAACATATATACTCACGGCAAAACATATACTCACGGCAAAACATATATACTCACGGCAAAACATATATACTCACGGCAAAACATATATACTCACGGCAAAACATATATACTCACGGCAAAACATATATACTCACGGCAAAACATTGGTTTTGTGCATGTTACTGACATACATAATACAACGTAGGAATGAGACGTACGTAAGACCTCCAAATTCATGAACCTGGAAAACTTTTGAAACTGTCTAAAATGTACATTTAGTTTTTATATAATCATGTTTTATATCCATGTTCAATGTTGACATCATTTCTTCAACTTTATATAATGTTTAAGTGAATTGAATTGCTCCTGACCGTATTCATAATTTGGAAAGTACGCCGATATCAATGTCTTAGGTTCATGTCAATTTATGTTTCTATTGTTTCAACTTCTATTTCTCTCACATGTCCTGTATTGCTCTCACCTGTACTTTATTGCTCCTACATGTCCTGTATGTTGGTGGATATAGATAGTTTAGGCTAGTCCTTAGATGGACTGTTAGTATTGATGTTGACTGACATATTATAGAGAACTTTAGCGGTAATCATCTTCATAATCAAGATAACTACCGCTAAGGTTGTGGTAACATCAGTCAACATCAACAGTCCTTCTCAGGACTACATAACCTTGACGATCTTCATCTACTCACATACAGGACATGTAGGAGCAAAGCAATACAGACATGTGAGAAATAGAAATTGAAAAATAGAAACATATATTGACATGAACATAAGACATTGATATCGGCGTACTTTCCAAATTATGAATACGGTCAGGAGCAATTCAATTCACTTAAAATATAAAAGTTGAATAAATGATGTTAACATTGAACATTGATATAAAACATGATTATATATAAACCAAATGTACATTTTAAACAGTTTCAAAAGTTTTCCAAGTTCTCAGGACTTCATAACCTTGACGATCTTCATCTACTCACATACAGGACATGTGGGAGCAACACTATTCACATGCCTTTATTGCTCCCACATGTCCTTTAATGTCTCCAAATGTCCTGTATTGCTTCCAGAGGCGTAACTAGAACGTTAATTGGGGGGGGTGTATATTCATATATTCAGTTGTGCCCTACTGATTTCTTTTGAAATTTAATTCACCTTCAAAAGAAATCAGCAGGACAGAGCCGAATATATGAATATTCAACCCCCCCCCCCTCTTTACGTTCTAGTGGTAAGGAAACTTTTCAAAAATTTCAAGCGAAACTGAGTATCCTTCACGAGGAAAACCAGGAAAGACAACATATACAAAATATATAAAGAAATGATATTAACTTTTCCCAAGCAATTTTGATGGCCAAAACCTCTTTTGCAAATTATTTAATAAAAACAGTAAAACAAAAACAGACACTAAAATTACAAGCCAGTCCGTTTGAAGGAAGCTAGTTTAATCAAAGCGGTGGAAAACGCCAGGCATCATCCCATTCTCAAGAATCTTGTCAATGATTGTAACTCGATCTTATGTTACAAATATGGAGCAAATTTACGAGGAACGATTTTGATCGTTATTGAAATACGGTATGTTTTTAATATTCTCATATGTCTTCGATTGCTCCCGCATGTCCTGCATTGCTCCTACATGTCCTGCATTGCAATGCTTGTATTGCTTTACGTGTTCTGTATTGCTCCCAAGTGCCGCATATTGCTTTCGAATTTCTTGTATAGCTCGTCACAGCCGCCATGTTGGTTGAATTTGACAAAAAGCAATTTTCTTTTTTCACAATTCAAATTTCAACCAACATGGCGAATATCTCTTTTTGCTTTGAATTTTTGGGAGAATAGCTGAAATGCACCTACTGCATGGCAAAGTTAAAAGAATAATTAAAATCGTGCACGATGGATTTCAAATTTGTCTACATTCATCATTTAAGAAACGGAGAACACCAGTACACTTAACATGTCTAGATAATTTAATTATTCCATATATCGACTATTATTTGTAATATTTTAATTATGTAAGTTGTCGTGTTTTACCAAACACGACAGACGTCAAAAATGGCATTGTGACATGTCCACTTTTTAAAACAAAAATCTGTAGAGAATGCAAAACCAAATCATCGCCATGAAAGATTTAGGACTACCTGACCCAGAAACTCTCTGATTAGGATCATCGACCCAGACTGCCAAATCTCCTTCATTAACGTTCGCAATTTTCCCATGAACCTTTTGGGTCTCAGCATCAATGATGACGACAGTCTTCGATTTCGATGCAGGGGAAAGAATCCATTTTCCGTTTATAAACAATTTTCGTGAAGCGCCGTGTCGTCTTGTCTCAAGACGATCCACGTCATCGATATATTTCCAGCGGCTGCTATCATTTCTTCCGGCCAGCTCCAAATCGACGACCGCCATTTTGTTTATGTAATCAAGCGTGACAAATACGTAGTAGGTATCGCGATTTGTTTTCTTGGGGTAAAAAACCGCACGTGACACGCCTCCGGGGATCAAGAGTTGAGGGTAATGCTGGAAATCTGATCCAGAAAAAGAGAGTATGTTCATTCGACTGATGTTTCCTCTGCGATATGTGGTAACAAGGAATCTGCCATTGGGCGAAACAAAGGAGTAGCCAGGAAACCTGAAGGTTCGAGTTACTGCGTCAGTGGAAGGGTTGATTTCAAGTGTGGAAACACCGCGATGACGATATTGACAATCGACGTACACACGTTGATTGTAAAAGTTATATGCAATACTGTATGTGCCTGTGCATCCATGTGTTGTAAGATTCACAAAGCCTGCGTATGACTTTCCTTCCAAATTCAACTTATGAATGCCCGGATTACTGAAGTGAGTGACGTAACCACGTTGACCTTTCAACAATGCTTTATCGGCAATCATTCGACCATGTGTCCATCCTAAGTGACATATTGTACTCAGACAGGTCAAAATACTGAAACATTAACGATTAAATTAAATAAAGTCTATAATTTGCCCCGTCTCTTGTTCATCTGCAATTCTTTTCTTATTTAATGAGTTGAATTTTGGATCGTGTTCCTGTTTTTCTCACTTCGAAATAAATAAACGTTGCAACTTTACGTACAATGTTACTACCCTAACTCTAAGACTAAGGGCTCTTTTCCACTCATCGCAAAATGCTCTCGCTGCGAGCTTGCGAGTCTGTTCGCGCGTTCAAAAAATTTTGTTCAATTAATTCAACTATGCTGTAAGTCATGGTAAGCTCGCTGCGAGTGCCTGCGAGTAACTCGCAGGCACTCGCAGCGAGCTTGCGAGTACGTTTTGCGATGAGTGGAAAAGAGCCTTAAGTCGAACTGCACAATATCATTCATTCATTTTGTATACAGAAAAGGAATTTCTGAGTGTTTTATTATGTTCAATGTAACGTTGAACACATCAAAAACACATTTTACATAAAAAGAAAAATTTTAAATCGGTAGATCAACGACTCCAAAGAGAGTTGCAGCTTGCTTATACGTCATACCCTCTCAAACCACTATTAGTTCTCACCTGGAGAAATGTGAGCTCGTATAGCACGATGGGAGCGATTTCGGGTGTCTGTCTTGATGACGTCAAATGTAGAGAGATTCCACGAATGTACCCAGACTTCCTTGCGCCAAGGCAGATAGTACAAACCGTGGGGTTGTGGATCGGTTTTTATGCTTTCTATTACTTGTCGCGTCGTCACGTTAATCACGTGAACAGCATTTCCGGAAGCATCCAAGACGTAGACAGAACCGTCAACGAATTGCGCACCACTAAAATGACATTCGCTCCTACAAACAGAAACAGGATACATGCATATTCTATTTGTTAAATAGATATGTGATTTAAGGAAGTCCTACACACATTTGAGCTGTTAATTTTATACTGTGTACGAAGTACGAGTTTAATACCCACCTTGACCGGCGGTTGTTTCCTCTGGTACAAAGTCCTGGAGAGGTGAGGTTGGTTATTTTGGTGACCAAGCTTTTAGTCTCCGGTTCGATGATATAAATACCATCACCGCCGAAGACATAAGCGACGTTGTATTGTGAAGATGTTGCCTCAGTCAAGACGCTTTGTTGAAAAACTTTGCAGATACAAAAGATAGTAAAAATATGTGATGCACCATCAAACCTTCCTTTAAATTGCTTTGAGAAAAGATGAGCATATGAATGACGTCACAATAACATGGGGAGTTTCAAAGGAATTTAAGTAGCTAGTAAATAATGGCTTCGTTTTCTAAGAAATATCAATCAACAAAGGAGTTACACGGAAATAGACCCCCTATTGAGAAAAGTCAATTTATACATGTACTATTATACGAGGAAGTTGAAAGCGCATTTAAGCGTCAGTTTGACTGTAAAGATAGAACAATAGGGTTGGAAATAACTTTATGACGAACAACCATTATAGTCTTGTTGACGATTCTCAACAAAAATCGCGAATAGTCAAAAATTGGTTCATGCAGAAATCACAAGTTCAATATCCGTTACAACGGATGTTGATAAGAAGCCATTTGTATGTTTATATGTTTGTAAATGATGATCGTCCAGGTTAATAAAGTCCTGAGAAGGACTGTTTTTGTTGTTGTTGACTGACGTTTCGACAACCTTAGCGGTAGTCATCTTCAGAGTCAAATGAGGAGTAAACGTCAGGTTAGCCGTATTTGTTTTCTGGTTCTTACGTCCTTGCAGCGGTGGTTGAACCAGAGTTGTTGGCGTATGCGTCTGACGTTGCTTGCAAAACGTATGTAGTCGTTAGCAAGTTGTTCGCTCTGTCGTCCAAATGATCGTAATAAAGTAAATGGTTTGAACCCGGGAGTATCGTTACATGCTTGTAAATGTAGATTGTCCAGGTTGGTATAGTCCTGAGAAGGACTGTTTTTGTTGTTGTTGACTGACGTTTCGACAACCTTAGCGTTAGTCATCTTCAGAGTCATTTACTTTAATACGAATTCCGTTTCGCCGTTTGCCAACGTGTCACATATTTCGGCATTTCATAAAGAACACCAGATATTGCCCATAGCAAAATAGTAATTTCAATAAGAATAACTAACAACACAGACAAACCCTCGTGAGTCATGACAGCGGTAATTTTATCGCAGATCGATAAATAACTGTTACATGAAGTCTATACTTAAAAAAGTGGTACCATAAACTGCGTAACATGAAGTACATGAAATGATACAAGGTAATTGAATATAACAAGGATGAAACGAGAAATCACTTTTTAACCCTCTAGAAACCGTTGCTGCCCACGAGCAGCACTCACCAAACGAGATGTGTGCAAACTTTCGAAAATGTCCGGCTTCTAGAGGGTTAAAGCGTTAATTCACTTATTGTTTCCATGCTGAAAGATTCCAAAAAAGATGCAAAAGTTCTTCCATCAATGATTCGGCAGATGACAATGACCTCGGTCTGAATAATTCTAGATATCATGCTCAACCTCATCCAATAACTGTTTATTATTAAAATATTAACTTGCTAAACTGAGGGGCATTTTGCTGGTATATTTGTGCTTTATAATCGTTTTTTCCGAGGAACATTAAATTTCACTGTGTAGCACAAATCATTGTGACTGTCCCACCATCTTATAATGGTTTAAATAATAGAAAAATTACAGTCCATTGAAATGAAAAAGATCAAATGCAGCCAAAAAGGAAAACAAAAAATGAAAGCCAAAATGTCTTTTTTGGCCGTACAAAAACCAGGTTACAAACCCTAAACATGGCGACTGTATTATTGATGACGTCACGTTCCTCTCAAGAATACAAAGTTCTCAGACATAAAATTTCCTCGTTATTTTGTTGTCTGAGAGGAAACTGGAAAGGTGGCAAAATTTTCAATCTGAAGGTGCAATAACAATTTGTCATATTTATGTCATTTTAGCCAGTAAATAGCAAGAAATTTATCACGTGCTTTCGTACGAGTATACACGTCGTAGATGGTCAAAGTACAGTACACCAACAGCTAATGGTGCAGTTTCCTCATTCTTGTAATTTTACCATGCATATAAAGTATGTCACGTTTTAAATTTTGTTGCGTATAATAATAATGGCAGTACTAACGAAAATTGATATCCAGTTTGGTGTAGTCTTAAGAAGTGATTGAATGTTGGTGTTATTAGGGTAAACCTACCACTAGTAGGTGCCCCTAGTGCGCATGTGTGAACGCTACTTATAAAACATATTCACGTAGGGTGACTCGCTTTCTAGGATAACCCTTCTGCTGGGGTTACCGTACCTCCATGTAAATAGTCTCTAAGCAAATTGCTTTTGTATATTTCATGGGAAATAGTCCAAACAAATTCAACGCATAATTTAATAATGATGTGAGCAAAGCCATGTAATATATTTGAAAAATGCCATTTATATAAATAACATGTAAATATATAATTCTTAATTGGTGACCAAAGTTTGTGATAGACATGTGCTGTATATAGTATTTTATGATACAACTTGCAATATACAGTATATATATCATTAAAGTGAATCAGTGGAAAAATAATTTCTCAACAGGCTTTAAAGGTTTACACATTTAACTTTACATATTTATCATCCAGTGTAAGCTACAAGAATTTTTAGTAAGTTATAACGTTTGATGAACGTTTTCTTGCTTATACATACTTTTGTCCAAAAGGTAAAACTTCGGCTATGAACGCATGTCGTGGTTTGTTCATTGAAGGAAGATATTTCCATGAAGAACTACATCCCATTTTGAAACACTCCACTGAATTAAGATAATTACCTTTATCATTCCAACCTCCCATGACAACAATTGTATCATCTGTTATAACTGCACAACACCACTGTCTCTTTTCCAACATGGATGGTAAGACTGTAATCTTACCTGTCTTAGTGTCATACATGATAACACTGTTCAATCTTTTTCTTCCATCCCCACCTCCAAGAAGAACAACTTGATCTCTCCATTGAACTGTTGCCATTTGAGTCAATGGATGAGGTAATGGAGGCATTTCCTTAAATGTAAGAGTCCTTGGATCAAATTCCAAAACACTGGACAAAACTTTGTCATCTTTTCCCTCTCCTCCAAAAATAAAAAATTTATCATCAACAACAACAGCTCCATGGCCATAACGTGGTTCAGGCATACGACACAACTCTTTCAAAACATAAGATGTTGTACCTGTAATCTTTATTTCACTGATCAAATCTGATCTTCCTTTACAACCAATGAATCCTCCAATGAGAAAGATTTGTTGTTTATAAACAACAGTTTGATGACCCTCACAGTCATAAGGAAGCTCTGTGGCAAATGTCTTCCATGTCAAAGGAAACTGTTTTATATTCAATGTCTCCATTGACATGCAGAACGCTCCTCCAACAACAAATAAATTATCATTATAAACAAATGAAGAAGCCTCCCTGTGTGCATTTTCCATTGATGCAATGTTAAACCATTTCTCCTCCTTCCATGAAAATATTTCAGCACTCTTTGAGGAACCAAGTGGCCAACCTCCAGCAACCAAAATATCACATTTTACAGAGTTCATCACCATTTCAATTGATGATGTCAATGTTTGAACATGTTGTTCATTTATATTCATCTTTTCCAACATTTGAAACATCATGGCTTTCTATTCTTTCATTTCTTTGGTCACAGTAGAAAGATTTTGTTGAACATCTTTTATTTCTTTCCTTGATTCCATCATTTCTTTGGTCACTGTAGAAAGATTTTGTTCAACATTTTCTACTACAGATTCCATCATTTCTTTATACTGAGATGTCAATGGTTTCACGGAATCTTTTACTTCAAAAAATTTTTTGTCTATTTTCCTGCTTAAGTTGTTCATTTGCATTTCCATTTTGTCTTCAAAACTTCGTTGAAACATTTCGCTAATCTCTCGAAAGTCGTGAGAAGCAATCTTTCTGTATTCACATAATTCAGTTTCATGTTTAATCTTGTCTCGTTTGTTTATTTCCAGACCACAATGTTCATTAGAACACAACACTGGAGCAAAGCCACAATTTTCAACATGTCTTTCAAGATCTTCGACATTTATAAATTCAGGACAACCACGACTGGCGTAGTCGCATTTGATCTTTAACTTAGAAATCATATTATTTATAACACGCGCTGGATGAAGCGTATCTACAGTTAAATCATCTTGACATTGAGGACATCTTTGTACATTAACTCGTAGATGTTCTTCAATACATTCACGACAAAAACTGTGTTGATTATGGCACATTCTGGCATCTTTCATGACATTCAGACAAATGGAACAGTAAAAATTTTCATCAACAACAGTCTTAAATCTCGATTCTTCATATCCACTTTCGTAAACATTAGGACGACAAGCCATTTCATACGTCTTCCTATACAATTTAATATCAAATTTGTAGTACAGCTGTTAATGAGAAAATTTTCACTTGAATGATACAAGGGTAAAACTTTCTTATAGTCTTACCTTGCCTCAAAGACAAAATTTTGATATAGGGCTATCAATTGAGTTCTATTAGACTCAATGGGGCTATCCCATATTTTACATTTACAACGCGTTCTGCGCATGTCGTGTTTGATGACGTTACAGTAGTAAAAAACAAAAGTTCTGAGTCATCGCAATTTCTCCGTATATTCTTATATAACAGCTAAAGACGATAGAAAAATTATATTACAACTTTTGCTTTTGAGGAAAACATTCTGAAATATTCTACATTAAAGGACACATGCAAGATAGAAGACAACTTTATTTTATTGTAATGCCTACGGCGTGAAAATAAAACGTACCAAGTTTCAAAGTCGTCCGCAAAATATTTCAAAAGATATTTAGGGTTATAATCGATAAAAACACGATGTTCGATGACCATTGCTAAAACGCCGTGAGATTGTTGAAGTCTGGGAACTGGGAATGAGTGACGTAATAGTTGACATAAACAAGCATTTTTCTTATATCGTTCTACGACTAGCACAACTTTCGGTAGTTTGCTATTAAGGTAGTTTGCTAGTTATTTGTTTTTTATTTAACAAAAATTAATGGATTCTTCTTTTGAATAAGCCGATTATGATATTTTCATCAATAACAATGAGGTACAACCTTGCATGTTTGAGCCTTTGGCCAACGCGCAAGGTGGTCATAGTAATGACAATTCTCCGTCATCGGAAGATGAATACATTCACAGATTTGGAAATGTTGAATGGTTAGTTGCATTTTATTGATGTTTCATTGTTTTCCCAAAGTAAAAGAATGTTTTATCTTTTAGGTGCGAGTGTGGCTTTTGTGTGGTCATGAGTACAGGACGGGAAAGTATATGTTGCCAAGAGGTAAGCAACACTGATCCTCTGATACATGGCGATCATATTTGCATCACACAAGAGGAAGAGTTTGCCACAGTGTGTACAAACGAAGCCGTCATAAAAACATATGTTGACATTGGACCTATACCTGAGAGTGAAGAAAACGAGTAAATATTACCTTAGAAGTATAATTACGTGTATGTCGAGAAGTGTATAATGCCGATAAGTATCTTAGACAAAATTTTGTATCTTTCAAGAACATTACGCTACACGTTGTACCGACAGTGGACGGCTTGGGTGCATGGCAAGTTGGGAAAAAGTACAGACTACCCATACCTTCTTGTGCTGGAGACAAAATCCGAAAGCATTTCCTTCGCCTTCTGGAGAATACAAAGGATTTGAATATGCTCAACACTACTGAATGGTAGGGCTTATGGCGTATGACAAAGTCTGTTCATTTGTAATTATGTTTATTTCATGTGGAACGCTATTTCTATTATCTTTTTATATATAAAAGCGACATTTATGTTGCTTAATGGCTTCAGCTTTGCTGATTTTTGATTTGTGGCAAGTCAATGGGACAGGTATTTCTTTCACTCCAGACATGAAGAGCTTCGGACAGTGTTGGATTAATGCGTCTGCAGTACAAAACTTCTTTCATCAAGTCCTTAACATATCCTGAAAAGCAAATCATTATTTATGTTGGCTTTGCATTGCACTTTGAGAAAAGTAAGTTTATTTTTCTGTGCTAACCATAAGTGCTGTCAATTTTCACTGGTTTGATATCCCTTGCCCTTCTTTTGAATTTGAATAAGCCATTCTCCAAATCAATTCCTCTTCTGTTTCCCATCATTCTTCATTTTATGAGCTTTGTTTCCATTCTCATTGAAATGAAGAGCAGCAACAAACAATCTACAAATGAATGTTAAGTTTATGTTTACAACTATTGCAACTTATTGCTTTTGCAATGATGACTTTTTTTAAGTAATCATACACAAATCATTTTTATATTACCTTGCTTACATTGATCTGTAGAAAAAATTAAGTATGTTTTGGTGCAAAAAGAATTACCACTCGGTGGAAACCTTTGATGGATGAAGTCTGCTTTTGATAACTGAGTTTTCCATTATCTGTCATGAGATACTTGGACTCAACAATCGAAGACAGCTCAACATAAGCTTTTGAACCTAAGATCAGAAGTTAGTTAACAAAAAAAAAGAATGTTGATGTTACTTTGAAATTTATTTACAATACCTTTTTTTATCCACATTCTAGGCTCTAACATATCATATTCACATTTTGGGAATACATCACTATGTCCCTCATGGATGTCACATATATGGTTGAGAACTGACAACCACTTTGCCTTGACAAGTTCTTCATCACCATTGCTGGAAGCAGCACACCAGTATACATGGTTGGAAATTGATTGGGCCCAATCTGACAATAATTTGCAACCACTTTTTTTTGATGCTGCCCAAATGTTCTTTTTAATTCCTGTTGGATTTTGATTATTGATGAAATGTGTAAAAGGTTGGTTTGTTATTACAATCTATACCTTTTGCTACATGCCATACATCAAAGTAGTGCTTGATTTTTGGTCTTTGTTTTTTCATGTAAGATTTGATTTGAGCATGTCTGTCTGTGGTCATTGACTTCACCTTCATCCCACTTTCATCAAACTTTGCCAGACATCTTTTTAATTCCTCAAGTTCCATTGCTCCAGAGTTGGTCACTTCATTGGACTGTTTAACATAATTATGTGAGTATTCTAACCATGTTTTATGTACATTTGTTGAAGAATTGTTACCTGAACAAGTTGTGTGTCTAAAATGTTGTTAGATTCCAAATCCATGCAGCTATATGACCCATACTTGGCACAATATCCAGGAAATCACATCTTCCATCTCTTCCAAGGTTAATGTTTCTTTTGTTAATTTATTATTAAAGCAGAAACAAAACAACATATATTTAATTATTTAAGTTACATAATGAGCGTTGTCCTAAACCATGCGGTATCGAGCAGAACAGAAAATAACAATTAGCATACAATAAGAAGTGCTTACCAGATCATGTGACTAGCACTATGATCAGATATCTTATACTTAGTTTAATACACATATAATGTATCGTCATTCCTAACACCTTTCTCTGATTGATTCTAGAAGATGCTTTTGGTGCATATGCCAAACAATTGAAACACAGCAGGGGTATCAAATACGCTGTTTGAATATAGCTATATGTGTGCTCTGACAGAAATTGTATGCCTGAGTGACGAAGGAATTGAAGAACTTTGCTGGGGCTACAACCACTAAACAAGATGCTGGCAGCAAAGACCAAGTTACCCAAAGGCATTCACCCATGCAGAGGTTGGCTATTGCAGTCTCGAACATAACCACAATGACATTTTGCTAGTACGTTAACCATACTACCAGTCGTTTTGGTCACAATTGAACAACTTTCACCACAACATGGGCATTGACTCACTGTCTCAAGCAACTATCAAACACTATGTATTTTCTCTCATTTTGAACATCTTCCCTATAACATAAAAATTACCATCAGAATCAGAGGGATAAACGTAACGTTCTGAGAAACATAGAACAGAGAAAAGCAATGTAAACAATAGTCAGGTGACTGGATAGTTGGTACTAACGTCACATTGTCATTGTCGGATTCTTCATTTTCGCTTAAAGTGCACATACAACTATTTTTAGTTTTTTTATTCTCAAATAGATTTTGGATAAATAATACAAATGCCGTTTACAGAATTTGAATAACTTTTTTCGTTTTTGAGTTATCTTTCGGCAAATTTGCGAATAAAACCTGAATTTCAACGTTTTGTAAAAAATGTCGAGAGCTCTAATCCGTGGCATGGGACTTACTTGTGACGTCATTTAAGGAACACAGACTGACTACCAAAACAACTTACACTGTTTATGGCATGTAAACAAACACAAAAATGCCAGATCGATGTGTAGTTTTTGGTTGTTCTAACGTAGCCAGTTCGGAGAAAGGCATTTCACTTCATCGCATACCATTTTTTAACGACGAAAGAAGCGAAGCTAAGCGTAGGAGAAAGCGATGGGTCAACTTTGTGAAAGCTACTCGCGATAAGTGGGTCCCCACAAAGAATTCCGCAGTTTGCTCGGAACACTTCACAAAATATTTGTTTTCTTGGCAATTCGGCTCGCTTTCTGAATCAGAAAGTAATTTTGCACCTCGACTCATTCGAGACGAATTCGGAATCGTTGCTTACCCGAGCATTTATCCTCGAAAAGATGACAATGAACTTACAACAAGAGATCGCAGAATGGTGAGTACGTTAAAAATTATACATATGCATATCTACATTTTACCTGGAATCTGTGTGAGAGTATATTTCATAAATATATGCCATTTTAGATGAAAAGAAAGTGGATGTCTGATTATAAAAGAGAGGTTGAATCAGAAAATATTCCCAGTACAAGTAGCGAACCTCAAGAGCAAATAGAAGAAATAACTTGTGATGAGCCTGTATTATCAGAATGATCAGCTACTCTTTTCCTGGAATGTTCTGCAGGTATTCTATGAAACATGTGTGATGAAACACCTATGTATCATTACAGTTTTTATTCACTTGTGCCAATTTAAACTCTTTCAAGAAATTGAATGCAATTTTATATTTCATGAAGGCATATCCTTGTTGTAACTCACTTGAAAGCAATTTGGAAAGGGATAATCAAGAGGTTAATGGAGTTCCCAGGTTAAAGTGCATTATTCAAAATTTATAAATGGTGAAGCTGTTGTAAGAAATGTGAAAGTTGCTCAGGATTTTGGTAAGGTTATTTAATATATTTCTCCTACTGCCTGATTTCATGTGTTAAATGCCATAACAGACAAAGCCATAATACTGAAATGATTACCATAAAATAAAATTTTGAATAATTTGCACATTGCTCCTCCAGGGTATGTTGTAGATATATATCAAGTGTTGTGCTCTGCACTCATTGATGAGGAAACATTGAGAAAAGCCAAAGGTGATCTTTACAATGACTCCATTGCCAATGAATTCCATGTTGGACAAGCAATCAAAAGTGAAGCTATCTCAAAAAGCAAGAAGACAAAGCATGCCAGCTGTACATTTCCCCCCAACTAAGCCAGGTTTAACAAAAAGGCATTTTTTGCTTTGAGATAATTTGAATCTTATTTTTGGAACTGACTCACTTTATTGTTTGATATAGCTGAAGTATCACCTGTCCAAGAAAAAATCACTGATCAGAGAAATGAGAGAGCAGCACCTCGATGCACTGTGTGCAAGAATTGGATGAAAGGCCATAAAAATATAATGAACTGTCCAAAAAACCAAAAGTAACCACTTTTTTAGGAGCTGGTGGTATGAGCCCAGTTAGTTGGGATTCAGTGAAGTGTGAAATGACTGCATGGAAAGAATAAAGAGAAAGGAATTGTAATTTTGTATGTTTTGTATAACAAGAATGAGTGTGAATTGAAGATGCAATACATCAAGAGTGGCTTAAATCATTCCACACTTCACTGGATCCCTACTAGCTTGGCTCATGCACACAACACCTAGAATAATATATAATGTTATGTTATTTTACAAATTGTCCTCTTCATACCCTGCAAAGTGTTCATTTTTTTTAAATTAAAAGTTGTTCGAATAACATGATAAGCACAAGCTGGAAGTGGAATTCTTTTGTCTCGAAGAATGCCATGTACCATTCTTGTAAATTGCCTATATGCAACAACTCGAAAAAACCTGAAAAGGCATAATACACAAGGTCCATTAAAAGAGGTAGGAGTCCATAAAATACAAATTTTGCAAGTGTGCATTCATAGATAACCCAGACAGAAGCATTTAACTATTAATTGTAACAAACCTTTGCTCCAAGAATCGTTTACGATGTCTAACTCCATCTCGTCTTTGGTAAAGATTGGCAGCTAAATTTAATGCCCATCGATTGTGGCAAAATGCTCAAATGCTGATAATCCAAATGATTTTCAATTCAATTCCTATTGTCCACCATCTTGCAACTTCAATTTTCATCAATTGTCGTTTTGGCGTCTTTGTTCTTCTGTATCTCTATTATAGTTTTCTAACCACTCATCAGCAAATGGTTCGTTTTCATATGCTGCAGCTTGGCCGTACTCAAAATCGCCATCGGTGTTTTGGAGCGCATTTGATGACGATTGATCTTCGTCTTCTAAATCGAATTCGCGACTGTTCAATTCAATATTTTCCGCTGTTGTTGCTGTACTCGACTCAGAATCGGATGTCGACATGTTTCGTACAATTTTTATTTTAATTTCAAAGCAATGTATAAAGAATTGTTATTTCACACAGTGTTGTTTTGTATGCAGCGCATTCATACGTTCCTTAAATGACGTCACAAACCTCTCGTTTTAAGACCCTCAAAGGCGCGGAAATTTCTCAAAAGCAAGCCAATTCAAACCGCCAAAAAAACTTTGTTTTTATTTTTTTATGAAATTTTCTTCGAAATCATATTTTTTATCCCAAACCGTCATTACCGTAAACCCCCAATCACCCCCACCACGTCCTTTATCCACATTACTCATTTTCATTATCCGTTCCTACTTAGAGTGATACCCATGACTGGATCACCGCTGACCAATGATGTTGCGCCCTCGGTCAACAATGCTCCGAAGGGCATCATAGTCTTAACAGGTGATAAGGTTAGTGATTTCATTTTAGTGGCTACCTTTTTGATTCCTAGTATGAATTGTGTTTTATTTAAGAAATAAAAGATGTTTACTGTGCTTGCACAGGCTTATGCAAACCGAAGATTCGTTTGGGAGAACTTGAGAGCAGATCAGTGCAAGCCCGAGACCGAAGATCGAGTGTTGCACATGCTCGAGAGTTCTTACAAACGTCTTCTAGGTTTGCACAAGTCAGTGTAAACACGGAAAATATCTTTTATTTCTTTTATAAAATAACAATATTGCGAAACAGACGAACATTTTAATTTTTCCTCTAAAATGTATTCATGATCTATTTGCAAATTCTCATTGACTGGTTGATTGTTATGATTGATTTGATTGGTAGAGCTTAGACGTGTTTTGCACAGGCTAATGCAAACACAGCTCTAGACCAATCAGCACACGTGTTTCATTGTGTTTATTTTATAATGTATGATGAAAGACCGCTGTTGTATGACAGAAATACAAAGACTCTCATACACACGGGAATTCTAAAATTTTAGTCACCGTACCTAATCATTGGAGCATATAAGTACTAGACATTTCTTCATACCAACCTACATGGAATTTGAATTTTTGAAATATTTTAGATGACTAACTGCTAGTGTTTTGGTCAACTACCTGCAAATTAGTAAGGGTAGAGCAGGATCATGTGTGCTCTATAGGATTGAGAGACCCTCGCATTAGATAAAATTTCATTCACTCGGGCACCGTTTTAGAATATTGCATGACCAAAGCCAGAAGGGATTACTTATGGTACTGAATTTAAGATGCTGTATTCTTATACAAGTATCTTTAGTTTACAGCTGATGATTGTTTTCAACGAGTATTTGAGATGTGTTCCATGTAAAGGCAGGTTTTAGTTCAAAACCTCTCGAAAGTTATAAGCCAGGGGGACATTGGATTGGTATAACTCACAACCTGTTAATTTTAACACGTTCTATAAATATTTACCAGCAATGTGCGAGGTAGATTACATTGACATGAAAGGTTGAGGATTTTCAAATGATTTTGGAAAGGTTACGTGCCCAACAACCCTCTAAGAAAGGAACATTTTCATTGATGAACAAACAATAATGTCTCGGACTGATTATCGAAGCACATCATTGTTAGATGATGCAAAAGGCCAAGTTCTACTCTGGTTATGTCAGTTTTAAAAGCACTTCAACAACCTGCTCCAGTGGATGTTTCAAGTCCAAAGAAAATTGAGGTAGATAAGAAGAAAGAAGCATGTGTTAGTACGACAAATACACGACGTACTTTAAAAGTTATTGAACATGGGAAAACACGTATGTTGTTTCATTTTATGTAATACACATGTGTTTGCTTTTAACTTTGTGAGCAATTATTAGTTTTTCCAATTTTTTCGTAAGAGATATTTTAATTTTAACATGAATATATTTACATCATCGAGATGCGTTAGAAACGCGTTAAATTTCATCACCTTGTTAGTTATTCAGAGATGAAATGTAATGTGGAGTTACGACAGTCATTAGTATCCTTTAACCTCATTAATATTTTCTATTTAGAGGATACTAATAAGGAAGTGAACAATAAAAAAACAATATCTTGTTAGTATTCTCTATATATGGATTAAAAATGAGATTTAGTGAATACCATTAAGCTTTAATTGTATTCCATTGTTTTCACTCCATCTCGGCATTTTCCTTGAGCTTTAAAGCTTACATCACTTCTTGAACTTTAGCCACTATGCCATATGGAACATCAAAATACTGGACGCTGATTGGCCGAGTGACTTTGGCTGTGTTCTAATTCTAGATATCTGTAGATATGACGTCATTACTACGAAAATTTTTCTACCATTATTGACTGACGCCATTAAAAGCCGAATTTGAAAAAATCAAATAAAGTGATGTTTACCACAGTTTCTAAAACAATAAGCGAAAGATTTCGAACAAAATTGATGCAGAAAACACTAAAAAAGCGACGAAGCTGGTTTCGAACATATTTACAGCATATTTAAACAAGAAGAACTCGAAAAAACCGTTTGACAATTACAACTAAGGGCAGGTTTCGAAATGTTTTACATTGATGAGTGTAAATAATATTTCAGTTTGTTGAGGTGAATGATAAAACAATTATTCAATTCGTTTTTCGCATGATATCAACAATTATTCATACCTCTGTCAACGTTATCCGTCCCAGCTTTGCTTCGGCAGATGACATTGACCTCGGTCTTAATAATTCTAGATATCATGCTCAACTTCATCTAATAACTGTTTATTATTAAAGTATTAACTTGCTAAACTGAGGGACATTTTGCTGGTATATTTGTGTGTTATAATCTTTTCGTCCGAGGAACATTAAATTTCACTGTGTAGCACAAATCATTGTGACTGTCCCACCATCTTATAATGGTTTAAATGATAGAAAAATTACAGTCCATTGAAATGAAAAAGATTAAATGCAGCCAAAACGCAAAACAAAAAATGAAAGCCAAAATGTACTTTTTGGACGTACAAAACCAGGTTACAAACCCTAAACATGGCGACTGTATTATTGATGACGTCACGTTACTCTCAAGAATACAAAGTTCTCAGACATAAAATTTCCTCGTTATTTTGTTGTCTGAGAGGAAACTGGAAAGGTGTCAAAATTTTCAATCTGAAGGTGCAATAACAATTTGTCATATTTATGTCATTTTAGCCAGTAAATAGCAAGAAATTTATCACGTGCTTTCGTACGAGTATACACGTCGTAGATGGTCAAAGTACAGTACACCAACAGCTAATGGTGCAGTTTCCTCATTCTTGTAATTTTACCATGCATATAAAGTATGTCACGTTTTAAATTTTGTTGCGTATAATAATAATGGCAGTACTAACGAAAATTGATATCCAGTTTGGTGTAGTCTTAAGAAGTGATTGAATGTTGGTGTTATTAGGGTAAACCTACCACTAGTAGGTGCCCCTAGTGCGCATGTGTGAACGCTACTTATAAAACATATTCACGTAGGGTGACTCGCTTTCTAGGATAACCCTTCTGCTGGGGTTACCGTACCTCCATGTAAATAGTCTCTAAGCAAATTGCTTTTGTATATTTCATGGGAAATAGTCCAAACAAATTCAACGCATAATTTAATAATGATGTGAGCAAAGCCATGTAATATATTTGAAAAATGCCATTTATATAAATAACATGTAAATATATAATTCTTAATTGGTGACCAAAGTTTGTGATAGACATGTGCTGTATATAGTATTTTATGATACAACTTGCAATATACAGTATATATATCATTAAAGTGAATCAGTGGAGAAATAATTTCTCAACAGGCTTTAAAGGTTTACACATTTAACTTTACATATTTATCATCCAGTGTAAGCTACAAGAATTTTTAGTAAGTTATAACGTTTGATGAACGTTTTCTTGCTTATACATACTTTTGTCCAAAAGGTAAAACTTCGGCTATGGACAAGTATCGTGGCTCGTTCATTGAAGGAAGATATTTCCATGAAGAACTACATCCCATTTTGAAACACTCCACTGAATTAAGATAATTACCTTTATCATTCACACCTCCCATGACAACAATTGTATCATCTGTTATAACTGCACAACAACAGGATCTCTTTTCCAACATGGATGGTAAGACTGTAATCTTACCTGTCTTAGTGTCATACATGATAACACTGTTCAACCTTTCTCCTCCATCATCACCTCCAAGAAGAACAACTTGATCTCTCCATTGAACTGTTGCCATGTCAGTTAATGGATGAGGTAATGGAGGCATTTCCTTAAATGTAAGAGTCCTTGGATCAAATTCCAAAACACTGGACAAAGCTTTGCCATCTTTTCCCTGTCCTCCAAAAATAAAAACTTTATCATCAACAACAACAGCTCCATGGCCATAACGTGGTTCAGGCATATGACACAACTCGTTCAAAACATTAGATGTTGCACCAGTAATTTTTATTTCACTGATCAAATCTGATGGTCCTTTACCAAAAATGTCTCCTCCAATGAAAAGGATTTGTTGTTTATAAACAACAGTTTGATGACCACCACAGTCATAAGGAAACTTTGTGGGAAATGTCTTCCATGTTAAAGGAAACTGTTTTATATTCAATGTCTCCATTGACATGCAGCCCCATCCTCCAACAACAAATAAATTATCATTATAAATAAATGATGAAGCCCACATGTGTTCATTTTCCATTGATGCAATATTAAACCATTTCTCCTCCTTCCATGAAAATATTTCAACACTCTTTGAGGAACCACGTGGGTAACCTCCAGCAATCAAAATATCACATTTTACAGAGTTCATCACCATTTCAATTGGTGATGTCAATGTTTGAACATGTTGTTCATTTATATTCATCTTTTCCAACATTTGAAACATCATGGCTTTCATTTCTTTCATTTCTTTGGTCACTGTAGAAAGATTTTGTTGAACATCTTTTATTTCTTTCCTTGATTCCATCATTTCTTTGGTCACTGCAGAAAGATTTTGTTCAACATTTTCTACTACAGATTCCATCATTTCTTTATACTGAGATGTCAATGGTTTCACGGAATCTTTTACTTCAAAAAATTTTTCGTCTATTTTCCTGCTTAAGTTGTTCATTTGCATTTCCATTTCCATTTTGGCTTCAAAACTTCGTTGAAACATTTCGCTAATCTCTCGAAAGTCGTGAGAAGCAATCTTTCTGTATTCACATAATTCTGTTTCATGTTTAATCTTGTCTCGTTTGTTTATTTCCAGACCACAACGTTCATTAGAACACAACACTGGAGCAAAGCCACAATTTTCAACATGTCTTTCAAGATCTTCGACATTTATAAATTCAGGACAACCACGACTGGTGTAGTCGCAGTTGATCTTTAACTTTGAAATCATATTATTTATAACACGCGCTGGATGAAGCGTAGCTACAGTTAAATCATCTTGACATTGAGGACATCTTTGTGCATTAACTCGTAGATGTTCTTCAATACATTCACGACAAAACTGTGTTGATTATGGCACATTCTGGCATCTTTCATGACATTCAGACAAATTGAACAGTAAAAGTTTTCATCAACAACAGTCTTAAATCTCGATTCTTCATATCCACTTTCGTAAACATTAGGACGACAAGCCATTTCATACGTCTTCCTATACAATTTAATGCCAAAATTAATACAGGAGTTGACGAAATTTTGTTTATCACTAAAAGTTCAAGCTAAAAGATAGGTTAAAATTTTCAATCGACGTTTGATAAACACGGAAGCTGAAAGCAAAGCAAAACAACGCCTAGTTTTATATTTTAACATACTTATGTTAAGCAAAACAAAGACAAAAGATAAAACAAAATAATGCAATGAAGCACATCAACAAAAAAAAACACAACTGAGGTCAAAGTTTCTAAGGTCAAAGAAGTGGAGCTTTAGTCAATCACATAAGGCAGTTCGTTCTCGGTGAAAAACATCCTAATTAAAGGTTATTTGTTGTAGTAAAATTACGTCTTTTCTTATAACGCAGAATTAACGTTAATCCAAGACGATTGTTACGTTTTCAGTTCAAAACTACATTTGTTTAGTCTGAATCACTGGTTGAAATTCTGAAACTCGTTTGTTTTGGGTAGCAGCCTAAGTTCATTGCATTTGTTTCTTTGACTGTCAATATTTCTAATCATTTTAGATACGATGATCATATATTTATAACACAAGGAAACATGTTTCAAGACACAAGTAAAACATATTTCACAAAGACTGTTGAATCCGATTTGCAAATTAAAAGTTTAGACATCTTTTGTTACTATGTTTTAACAAACAAATTATTGATAACATTCAAAATGCTAAATGGAACTGACAAAAGGTTGCACGAGTGGGAAAAATGACCATGTTAAGAATACCTTAGGTGATGAGAGATTCCTTTCCTCGCAGTTAGCCTGCAGTTGGCCACTTATCGTCGATTTCAGTTAACTTTTTAAATGGCGGTTGCCAAGTTACTTTCTAATGTTGCCAACTACATTTCCAAACATGGAATATTCGTTATGAACTTGTCAACTTGAGTTGAGAAGTTGTGTATTTGAGTACTGAAGTTGTGAACTTGAGTACTGAAGTTGTGAACCAAAGTTGCGAAGTACTGGCAAACGCGAAAGGTCTGCGGGAGTTTCTATTTCTGCGGGAATTTTATTATTGAAGAACTGGCGCAAAATTCTAATATCGCGAAGAAGTTTTGGTCTGTTCATTTTATATTCAGCATTAATTTTCATCATCTGGGGGTTAATGCTTTTATAAATTGGTGCTCACTCTGGCTTTGAAAATTATTAATACCATTTAATTCTTCTTGGAGTTGCTTAATAGTCTCGTGTTTTGTTTTATCTTAAACTTCAATCGATTTATGTCCGCAGAATATTCGGGATGTTTGTCTTTAAGTCCACAATAAGTAAACGCGGAACATTTTTCAAGAATACACGGTTTAGTTTGTGTGTTTCTGTGACCTCGGTGGTGGCAGTTGCTGCAGATGACTTTGTAATTAGCAATCATTGGTAATTCAGGAACATTTAAATTCATTGATTCTAATTGCACGTTCATCTCTTCCAAATCTTGTTTGTTGTGATGAATTGAGTCTTCGATTGTCCTTCGCCGATTTTACAATGAACGTTTAGCGGGTATACTTGTATCCTATTTCAGATAGTTAAACGCAACATTATAAATTTATACATTTATTTTATTGTGACTACAAAACAATGACGCACGACAGTATTCAGTTTTAAGAAATATGTCACTTTACGACCTACCTCGTACGAAGCAGATGGATTTTCATCCACGTCAAGACAGCTTTTGATTGAGATTTTGAAAGTTTTAATAACGGTGACTGCTCCGCAGCAAATCGAGATGAAATTCTAAAACTTTCCTTGCCCCAAGAGGCAAGTTCGTATTCTTTTAAAGATGACCAAGATTTTCATTGCTTAACAATTTTAGCGACAGTCGTGAAGAAAATTTATTTTCTTTCAAAGCTTTTTCTATTACTTCATGACTTTGTTTCCCAATTTTATCCTTAAAACTATTAAGAAACTCCTCCAATTCATCTGCCATTATCAGTGAACAATTTATTTAGCTTTTACTTGCCTACAACACAGACCTTCCGCGTTTGCCAGTACTTCGCAACTTTAGTTCACAACTTCAGTACTCAAGTTCACAACTTCAGTACTCAAGTTCACAACTCAAGTTCACAACTTCAGTACTCAAGTTCACAACTTCAGTACTCAAGTTCACAACTTCAGTACTCAAGTTCAGTACTCAGTTCACAACTTCAGTACTCAAGTACACAACTTCAGTACTCAAGTACACAACTTCAGTACTCAAGTTCACAACTTCAGTACTCAAGTACACAACTTCAACTCAAGTACACAACTTCAGTACTCAAGTTCACAACTTCAGTTCACAACTTCAGCACTCAAGTACACAACTTCAGTACTCAAGTTCACAACTACTCAAGTTACAACTTGTCAATTCAAGTTGACAAGTTCATAACGAATATTCCATATTTGGAAATGTAGTTGGCAACATTAGAAAGTAACTTGGCAACCGCCATTTGAAAAGTTAACTGAAATCGACGATAATTAGACTTTCTTTTCTGCAAGTTTCTTCCTTTGTCCCAGACCACAAGTAGTGAATCTTTAAAATAGTTTAGGCCGTAACTAATGGGTTCTATTGAATTACAGGTCAGTGGCAGGAACTAGAGGCCGTAGCCACCCCAGTGCACTACACCTCCATGTGCCCATACATCCATAAGGTCTCCATGTTATTAACTGTCACTGAATCACGTGTTTGTTTCTTTGTACTTCGATGTCTCAGTTACCTGCATTGGCAAAGTTAAGGTAGGTAGGCTCTATATTTGTGCTTTTGTGTTGTACAAAATGTTAACGTTTGTTCAATTGCCTATAATATCAACAGTGCGAGTTTGTTTTTCTTTAATGTGCCCCCTTCCTTTAAACTTTCTGGTTGGGAATTACTACCCTATTCCTCGACCTAGGTTAATTTACTGAAACCTCGATATATCTTCATTTCATGGAAACAAATTTGGTACACCGATGTCATTTCTACGTGTTATAACTCTCAAACAATGAACATGCTCACGTAAACATGCATAATTACAAAATCATATAGTTACATACTAGATACCTTCTTTAATTCAGAAAAGAACGGATACAGACGATTTCGTCACATTAATTATTATACATTGTATATTCGTACTTTATCCTTAAAATATTCATCAAATGTGCGGATAAAATTGTCATAAGGGTCAAATTTTCTATTACTGGGGAGTGAGAATGAGTTTTGCTGATGAAATATTTGTTAAAAGACAGCAACTGAAGCACTTCTCGACTGTTTAACTCATACTGATGGCACAAAGGTATTAGTTTTAATTTGTATGAATGTACTTGGTAGTGTGTTTGATTAATAAAAGTAGATTTAAACCTTTTCGCTTCTTTGTTCAGGTTTTAACAAGCAACTTGACTTGTGGGGACAAAGTCTGTGTAGTAATTGGTAAAGTTGATGGTTATTGCATAGATACAAGTATTGACGACAAGATATATCATGTAGCAGACAACTTGTACATTTCTTCACAAGATGGAGCTTGTAATCTTGAACATTTAAGGCTGCAAAAAAATTACTCATATTGTTAATGTTGCCACAGGAATTGTAAATCAATTTCCAAATGTGAGTATAACTTAGATGGTGGATTTCAAATTTTAGCCTAGGCTCTTGTGTTTATGTCATATTTTGATTTTCTCTCTCAGGGGTTTCAGTACAAAATGGTAGAAATTTTGGATTTACCTGACACAAGAATAGATCAGAATTTTGCTGAGCTGTCCTCATTCATTGAAAAGGGACTGGAGGATGGAAAGGTTTTGGTTCATTGGTAAGTGTAAAATGGGGATGGCCATTGATATTCTAAATGTGTGTATTGTGAAGGTTATTATGGTAAGATTTTAGGTTTTCATGTGAATGAATTAAACTTTGAATATTTTATTAGTACATGTTGATGTTTTATTATACTTAGCAATAATTATTTACTTTGAACTTGGCTCGAAATATGACTACATCTGAGGATGTGAAAACATCAGTCAACATCAACTGAATTAACCTGAATGATCAACACATACAAACATGTAGGTTTTGCTACAGGCTTGTCAACACAATTTATGTTCTTATGGAGGATATTAATTTGATTACAAAAAACCAAATGCTGAATCAGCATGTTCACTGTTAACTTGTTGAAAAGTTAATTGAAGGCTGTGTTTCACATTTGAGGCATACGTAACTTAAAGATGATGGCCATTAAACTAAAAATTGTTGCTTATGCAGCAAAAATTTTGTAGCCAATGAAATGATTTTCCTTTAAATGTCCAGCAAAGCAGGAGTGTCCAGGTCTTCGACTGTTGTCATTGCTTACCTTATGAAATCTAACAATATTGGGTTAGATGATGCATTTCATTTGGTAAAGAAAGCATGACCAACAGCAAAGCCTAATGAAGGTTTTTGGAGGCAACTGAAGGAAAATCATTTATTATTAAGTCAATCAAACACTCCAAGTGATGGAAGAACAAACAAATAATGGTACAACTTTCTTATTTGATTGGTAGTATGCAGAGTTTAAGCACCAAAATTAATGGAACCTTCTTTTGAATAAGCCATATGAAATGAAGATCAAAACATATAATGGTGAACAACCTTGTATGTTACAACATGCACTTGAGCCATGTGAAATGAAGAACAAAATATAATGGTGAACCATTCCTGTATGGTGCTAAACATGCACAGATTTGGAAATGTTAATGGTTAATTGCATTTTTATGGATGCTTCATTGTTTTCCCAAAGTAAAGAATGTTTTATCTTTTAGGTGTGTGGTTTGTGTGTCATGAGTACACGGAAAGTATATGTTGCCAAGAGGTAAACAACACTGATCCTCTGATACATGGCGATCATATTTGCATCACACAAGAGGAAGAGTTTGACAGTATGTACAAACATAAGCTGTCTTAAAACAGCTATGGTCGTTTAACACATGACATTGGACCTATACTGGAGAGAAGAAAACGAGTAAATATTACTTTAGAAGTATAATACGTGTATGTGAAGTGTATAATGCCATAAGTATCTTAGACAAAATTTTATCTTTCAAGAAACATAACGCTACGGCCTACCGACAGTGGACGGCTTGGGTGCATGGAGTTGGGAAAAAGTACAGACTACCCATACCTTCTTGTGCTGGAGACAAAATCGGAAAGCATTTCCTTCGCCTTCTGGAGAATACAAAGGATTTGAATATGCTCAACACTACTGAATGGTAGGACTTATGGCGTATGACAAAGTCTGTTCATTTGTAATTATGTTTATTTCATGTGGAACGCTATTTCTATTATCTTTTTATATATAAAAGCGACATTTATGTTGCTTAATGGCTTCAGCTTTGCTGATTTTTGATTTGTGGCAAGTCAATGGGACAGGTATTTCTTTCACTCCAGACATGAAGAGCTTCGGACAGTGTTGGATTAATGCGTCTGCAGTACAAAACTTCTTTCATCAAGTCCTTAACATATCCTGAAAAGCAAATCATTATTTATGTTGGCTTTGCATTGCACTTTGAGAAAAAGTAAGTTTATTTTTCTGTGCTAACCATAAGTGCTGTCAATTTTCACTGGTTTGATATCCCCTTGCCCTTCTTTTGAATTTGAATAAGCCACTCTCCAAATCAATTCCTCTTCTGTTTCCCCATCATTCTTCATTTTATGAGCTTTGTTTCCATTCTCATTGAAATGAAGAGCAGCAATAAACAATCTACAAATGAATGTTAAGTTTATGTTTACAACTATTGCAACTTATTGCTTTTGCAATGATGACTTTTTTTAAGTAATCATACACAAATCATTTTTATATTACCTTGCTTACATTGATCTGTAGAAAAAATTAAGTATGTTTTGGTGCAAAAAGAATTACCACTCGGTGGAAACCTTTGATGGATGAAGTCTGCTTTTGATAACTGAGTTTTCCATTATCTGTCATGAGATACTTGGACTCAACAATCGAAGACAGCTCAACATAAGCTTTTGAACCTAAGATCAAGTTAGTTAACAAAAAAAGAATGTTGATGTTACTTTGAAATTTTTAAACACAATACCTTTTTATCCACATTCTAGGCTCTAACATATCATATTCACATTTTGGGAATACATCACTATGTCCCTCATGGATGTCACATATATGGTTGAGAACTGACAACCACTTTGCCTTGACAAGTTCTTCATCACCATTGCTGGAAGCAGCACACCAGTATACATGGTTGGAAATTGATTGGGCCCAATCTGACAATAATTTGCAACCACTTTTTTTTGATGCTGCCCAAATGTTCTTTTTAATTCCTGTTGGATTTTGATTATTGATGAAATGTGTAAAAGGTTGGTTTGTTATTACAATCTATACCTTTTGCTACATGCCATACATCAAAGTAGTGCTTGATTTTGGTCTTTGTTTTGACATGTAGGATTTGATTTGAGCATGTCTGTCTGTGGTCATTGACTTCACCTTCATCCCACTTTCATCAAACTTTGCCAGACATCTTTTTAATTCCTCAAGTTCCATTGCTCCAGAGTTGGTCACTTCATTGGACTGTTTAACATAATTATGTGAGTATTCTAACCATGTTTTACATACATTTGTTGAAGAATTGTTACCTGAACAAGTTGTGTGTCTAAAATGTTGTTAGATTCCAAATCCATGCAGCTATATGACCCATACTTGGCACAATATCCAGGAAATCACATCTTCCATCTCTTCCAAGGTTAATGTTTCTTTTGTTAATTTATTATTAAAGCAGAAACAAAACAACATATATTTAATTATTTAAGTTACATAATGAGCCTTGTCCTAAACCATGCGGTATTGAGCAGAACAGAAAATAACAATTAGCATACAATAGAAGTGCTTACCAGATCATGTGACTAGCACTATGATCAGATATCTTATACTTAGTTTAATACACATATAATGTATGTCATTCCTAACACCTTTCTCTGATTGATTCTAGAAGATGCTTTTGGTGCATATGCCAAACAATTGAAACACAGCAGGGGTATCAAATGCTGTTTGAATATAGCTATATGTGTGCTCTGACAGAAATTGTATGCTTGAGTGTGAAGGAATTTAAGAACTTTGCTGGGGCTACAACCACTAAACAAGATGCTGGCAGCAAAGACCAAGTTACCCAAAGGCATTCGCCCATGCAGAGGTTGGCTATTCCAGTCTCGAACATAACCACAATGACATTTTGCTAGTACGTTAACCATACTACCAGTCGTTTTGGTCACAATGGAACAACTTTCACCACAACATGGGCATTGACTCACTAACTGTCTCAGGCAACTATCAAACACTATGTATTTTCTCTTATTTTGAACATCTTCCCTATAACATAAAAATTACCATCAGAATCAGAGGGATAAACGTAACGTTCTGAGAAACATAGAACAGAGAAAAGCATGGTACTAACGTCACATTGTCATTGTCGGATTCTTCATTTTCGCTTAAAGTGCACATACAACTATTTTTAGTTTTTTATTCTCAAATAGATTTTGGATAAATAATACAAATGCCGTTTACAGAATTTGAATAACTTTTTTCGTTTTTGAGTTATCTTTCGGCAAATTTGCGAATAAAACCTGAATTTCAACGTTTTGTAAAAAATGTCGAGAGCTCTAATCCGTGGCATGGGACTTACGTGTGACGTCATTTAAGGAACACAGACTGACTTCCAATACAACTTACACTGTTTATGCATGTAAACAAACACAAAAATGCCAGATCGATGTGTAGTTTTTGGTTGTTCTAACGTAGCCAGCTCGGAGAAAGGCATTTCACTTCATCGCATACCATTTTTTAACGACGAAAGAAGCGAAGCTAAGCGTAGAAGAAAGCGATGGGTCAACTTTGTGAAAGCTACTCGCGATAAGTGGGTCCCTACAAAGAATTCCGCAGTTTGCTCGGAACACTTCACAAAATATTTGTTTTCTTGGCAATTCGGCTCGCTTTCTGAATCAGAAAGTAATTTTGCACCTCGACTCATTCGAGACGAATTCGGAATCGTTGCCTACCCAGGCATTTATCCTCGAAAAGATGACAATGAACTTACAACAAGAGATCGCAGAATGGTGAGTACGTTAAAATTATACATATGCATATCTACATTTTACCTGGAATCTGTGTGAGAGTATATTTCATAAATATATGCCATTTTAGATGAAAAGAAAGTGGATGTCTGGTTATAAAAGAGAGGTTGAATCAGAAAATATTCCCAGTACAAGTAGCGAACCTCAAGAGCAAGTAGAAGAAACAACTTGCGATGAGCCTGTATTATCAGAATGATCAGCTACTCTTTTCCTGGGATGTTCTGCAGGTATTCTATGAAATATGTGTGGTGAAACACCTATGTATCATTACAGTTTTTATTCACTTGTGCCAATTTAAACTCTTTCAAGAAATTGAATGCAATTTTATATTTCATGAAGGCATATCCTTGTTGTAACTCACTTCGAAAGCAATTTGGAAAGGGATAATCAAGAGATTAATGGAGTTCCCCAGGTTAAAGTGCATTATTCAAAATTTATAAATGGTGAAGCTGTTGTAAGAAATGTGAAAGTTGCTCAGGATTTTGGTAAGGTTATTTAATATATTTCTCCTACTGCCTGATTTCATGTGTTAAATGCCATAACAGACAAAGCCATATCTGAAATGATTACCATAAAATAAAATTTTGAATAATTTGCACATTGCTCCTCCAGGGTATGTTGTAGATATATATCAAGTGTTGTGCTCTGCACTCATTGATGAGGAAACATTGAGAAAAGCCAAAGGTGATCTTTCTGAATGACTCCATTGCCAATGAATTCCATGTTGGACAAGCAATCAAAAGTGAAGCTATCTCAAAAAGCAAGAAGACAAAGCATGCCAGCTGTACATTTCCCCAACTAAGCCAGGTTTAACAAAAGGCATTTTTGCTTTGAGATAATTTGAATCTTATTTTGGAACTGACTCACTTTATTGTTTGATATAGCTGAAGTATCACCTGTCCAAGAAAAATCACTGATCAGAGAAATGAGAGAGCAGCACCTCGATGCACTGTGTGCAGAATTGGATGAAAGGCCATAAAATATAATGAACTGTCCAAAAACCAAAAGTAACCACTTTTTAGGAGCTGGTGGTATGAGCCCAGTTAGTTGGGATTCAGTGAAGTGTGAAATGACTGCATGGAAAGAATAAAGAGAAAGGAATTGTAATTTTGTATGTTTTGTATAACAAGAATGAGTGTGAATTGAAGATGCAATACATCAAGAGTGGCTTAAATCATTCCACACTTCACTGGATCCCTACTAGCTGGGCTCATGCACACAACACCTAGAATAATATATAATGTTATGTTATTTTACAAATTGTCCTCTTCATACCCTGCAAAGTGTTCATTTTTTTTAAATTAAAAGTTGTTCGAATAACATGATAAGCACAAGCTGGAAGTGGAATTCTTTTGTCTCGAAGAATGCCATGTACCATTCTTGTAAATTGCCTATATGCAACAACTCGAAAAAACCTGAAAAGGCATAATACACAAGGTCCATTAAAAGAGGTAGGAGTCCATAAAATACAAATTTTGCAAGTGTGCATTCATAGATAACCCAGACAGAAGCATTTAACTATTAATTGTAACAAACCTTTGCTCCAAGAATCGTTTACGATGTCTAACTCCATCTCGTCTTTGGTAAAGATTGGCAGCTAAATTTAATGCCCATCGATTGAGGCAAATGGCATCAAATCCTGGATGCTCTGTTATGCATTTTGGCTGTCTTCCTAATTCGGATACCACCATATGATCTTGCATTTCAATCATGCAATTGATAATTTCGTGGCAACATCTACATTCTTTTGAATTAACCAAGAGAGGAACACGGCAGTTACCACAATTGCACCTAAGAAAGTTATCTGTCAAAAGCTTCGGCAACAATAAACAAATTTTCCAACTTTTCTCACCAAGAATCAAGAGGAACTTCATTTTGCATTCTGCGTTCGAGCTCTTCTGTTTGGCGTCTTTGTTCTTCTGTATCTCTATTATAGTTTTCTAACCACTCATCAGCAAATGGTTCGTTTTCATATGCTGCAGCTTGGCCGTACTCAAAATCGCCATCGGTGTTTTGGAGCGCATTTGATGACGATTGATCTTCGTCTTCTAAATCGAATTCGCGACTGTTCAATTCAATATTTTCCGCTGTTGTTGCTGTACTCGACTCAGAATCGGATGTCGACATGTTTCGTAAAATTTTTATATTAATTTCAAAGCAATGTATAAAGAATTGTTATTTCACACTGTGTTGTTTTGTATGCAGCGCATTCATACGTTCCTTCAATGACGTCACAAACCTCTCGTCTTATGTCCCCTCAGAGGCGCGGAAATTTCTCAAAAGCAAGCCAATTCAAACCGCCAAAAAAACTTTGTTTTTATTTTTTTATGAAATTTTCTTCGAAATCATATTTTCCACAGTCTAAACTTTAAAAGTTCAACGAATTTGGAAAGGCTGTATGTGCACTTTAACTCATTTGAACATTGAGAGTCTGATCCATTGTAGCTATTGTTCATCGTCGACGTGCTTTCTGTATCACACCATACAGCGCTATCCTCAAAATGTTCAATTTCACATAACGTCGTCTGTGTGCTGTGATTTTTTGTTTAAATTAACTCAACCTCCCTACCATAAAATTATCGTATTGCTGGATTTTTCACAAAAATCAAAATGGCCGAAATGGAAAGTCTATACCTCTACTTATCATATTTGGCACTTTTGTAAGTTTTGTTTGAGTGGTTCTTGACCTCACGTGTTTTTGCGGACGGATTGTTATGTCTGCTTACCATTTCACATTGTGCTTCTAAGGTATAAGGAATTTTCTATGAGTTAAAATAACAAAGAAAAGATTAAACGACATTAGTCTGAATTAGTTACCACTGTATTTGTTTGTGTTTCGCTGTCTACATATATTTTGACATCTTTTATCTTAGACAAACTTCCTTTGAGGTAAAACGCACAAACATTTCGAGCCGATGTCGACACATCGTGGTCGTCGCCTACGAGAAAGTCGTCATGTTCTGCAAGAACGTCGTCAATAATCTAAAATTATAGAATTGTCTTCATAGCTTAGTTTTTGATAAATGTAAACAAATATTGCTAACTATAACTATAATATTCACCTCTTGCCTTCGTCTCTTCTTAAATGCAGTTCTAACATTTGTTGGCTGCTTCCTTTTAGATGCTACACTTGTGGGTTCCACAGAGTATTCAAAAATCGCGGATACTGCATCCTTCTTAAGGTGAAGACGTCCTGCTGTCCATCCTACTGATTGCATCGCTTCAAAATTTTGCACGAAGCACGAACTCTCGAAATGTTGCGAGCACAATTTTGAGCTCTTTGTTGGCTTCCAATTTTTGCGTCGGATTTTTTCAAGCCAAATATCCCGAATGCGCTTGTTTTCGGGAAATGAAAAAAAAGAAACCTTTTGCTGCGTTTGGTGGTTCTTAGAAGAACCGCTTTTACAATTAAATACGGCACAATAAACCATATTTTCAATGCTAAATTGTCGTGTTGTTAAGAAGTTACCAATATATTTTGAACGAAGCGCGCAATTGACCGCGTTTGCTAATGTCAATTATTACGTCACAACGACATCGGTAGCTGTCGCTAGCTCGTCGGGCATTTTCAATACGTTATCAGTAAAGCATCAACTTTAAACCTCCATATCTTCAAAAATATTTATCCTTTGAGTCTCAAACTTTGGTGAACTATTAGTTGTAGCTATACCTTCATGTAAAGTACAAAAATAACAATCCGAATTTTATGTTGCATGTGTCCTTTAAGTCGATACATTAAGTGTTGTTATGGATGAAGTAACCAATCATCCGCTGAAGATGTTTGTGATTTTAAGAAGTGTTGTTTTATTTGTTTATAAAACACAGAGTTTTATTTTTTTACTTTTAGATTGCCTTTGTCAAATCTCTCTTGTAAAATCAATAGCTCAGGTAGGATAATTGTCAGTTGTGGTTTACCATGTCTCAAAAGCAAGAGTAAAACTGTGTTCATTATCTTTTTTATTAAGTTATCACACAGGAAAGACACCATAGCAAACAGCTATCTCCAAGTAATGGTTAAAATACAGAAATCTAAATAACGATCTGTTGTCATAGTTGCGTTTTAGCTAAAAGTACACTATAAAGATTATGAAGTAGTTGAAGATATTAAGTCAATAATTAAATTAGTAAAGCCTGCTCCCCAGTCACCCCATAACCCGCGCATACTTGTTCTTGATATCCCAATTGCAAAAATTCTTCTTCATACTTTATGTAAATATCGTAATATCAGAGAACGTAAGCATGGATAAAATAGAAAGTTTTATTTATAGATTTTGAAATATGAGCCAACAAAACTTCTACTACAATCTGTGTCGTTATTTTGCTATGAAGCTTTACAAAAACTTCGCCCGTGAATTGTTCGTGTTGAAAGTATGAGAGCTCCAAAACTTGGGAAGAGGTTTGTCATTCATGTTACGTAAAGTCTTGTTCTTATCCAAAACTCACATAGCCACAATCACCCTCACCACCATTATCTTTATCACACATTAACCCTCACCATCATTTTTTATCCCAAACCATCAACACCGTAATCCCCCAATCACCCTCACCACGTCCTTTATCCACATTACTCATTTTCATTATCCGTTCCTACTTAGAGTGATACCCATGACTGGATCACCGCTGACCAATGATGTTGCGCCCTTGGACAACAATGCTCCGAAGGGCATCATAGTATTAACAGGTGGTAAGGTTAGTGATTTCATTTTAGTGGCTACCTTTTTGATTCCTAGTATGAATATTGTTTTATTTAAGAAATAAAAGATGTTTACTGTGCTTGCACAGGCTTATGCAAACCGAAGATTCGTTTGGGAGAACTTGAGAGCAGATCAGTGCAAGCCCGAGACCGAAGATCGAGAGTTGCACATGCTCGAGAGTTCTTACAAACGTCTTCTAGGTTTGCACAAGTCAGTGTAAACACGGAAAATATCTGTTATTTCTTTTATAAAATAACAATATTGCGAAACAGACGAACATTTTAATTTTTCCTCTAAAATGTATTCATGATCTATTTGCAAATTCTCATTGACTGGTTGATTGTTATGATTGATTTGATTGGTAGAGCTTAGACGTGTTTTGCACAGGCTAATGCAAACACAGCTCTAGACCAATCAGCACACGTGTTTCATTGTGTTTATTTTATAATGTTTGATGAAAGACCGCCGTTGTATGACAGAAGTACAAAGACTCTCATACACACGGGAATTCTAAAATTTTAGACACCGTACCTAATCATTGGAGCATATAAGTACAAGACATTTCTTCATACCAACCTACATGGAATTTGAATTTTTGAAATATTTTAGATGACTAACTGCTAGTGATTTGGTCAACTACCTGCAAATTAGTAAGGGTAGAGCACGATCATGTGTGCTCTATGGGATTGAGAGACCCTCGCATTAGATAAAATTTCACTCACTCGGGCACCGTCTTAGAACAATGCATGGCCAAAGCAAGAAGGGATTACTTATGGTATTTAATTTAAGATGCTGTATTCTTATACAAGTATCTTTAGTTTACAGCTGATGATTGTTTTCAACGAGTATTTGAGATGTGTTCCATGTAAAGGCAGGTTTTAGTTCAAAACCTCTCGAAAGTTAGAAGCCAGGGGGACATTGGATTGGTATAACTCACAACCTGTTAATTTTAACACGTTCTATAAATATTTACCAGCAATGTGCGAGGTAGATTACATTGACATGAAAGGTTGAGGATTTTCAAATGATTTTGGAAAGGTTACGTGCCCAACAACCCTCTAAGAAAGGAACATTTTCATTGATGAACAAACAATAATGTCTCGGACTGATTATCGAAGCACATCATTGTTAGATGATGCAAAAGGCCAAGTTCTACTCTGGTTATGTCAGTTTTAAAAGCACTTCAACAACCTGCTTCAGTGGATGTTTGAAGTCCAAAGAAAATTGAGGTAGATAAGAAGAAAGAAGCATGTGTTAGTACGACAAATACACGACGTACTTTAAAAGTTGTTGAACATGGGAAAACATGTAATACACATGTGTTTGCTTTTAACTTTGTGAGCAAATATTAGTTTTTCCAATTTTTTCGTAAGAGATATTTTAATTTTAACATGAATATATTTACATCATCGAGATGCGTTAGAAACGCGTTAAATTTCATCACCTTGTTAGTTATTCAGAGATGAAATGTAATGTGGAGTTACGACAGTCATTAGTATCCTTTAACCTCATTAATGTTTTCTATTTAGAGAATACTAATAAGTAAGTGAACAATAAAAAACAATATCTTGTTAGTATTCTCTATATATGGATTAAAAATGAGATTTAGTGAATACCATTAAGCTTTAATTGTATTCCATTGTTTTCACTCCATCTCCGCATTTTCCTTGAGCTTTAAAGCTTACATCACTTCTTGAACTTTAGCCACTATGCCATATGGAACATCAAAATACTGGACGCTGATTGGCCGAGTGACTTTGGCTGTGCTCTAATTCTAGATATCTGTAGATATGACTTCATTACTACGAAAAATTTTTTCTACCATTATTGACTGACGCCATTAAAAGCCGAATTTGAAAAAATCAAATAAAGTGATGTTTACCACAGTTTCTAAAAACAATAAGCGAAAGATTTCGAACAAAATTGATGCAGAAAACACTAAAAAAGCGACGAAGCTGGTTTCGAACATATTTACAGCATATTTAAACAAGAAGAACTCGAAAAAACCGTTTGACAATTACAACTAAGGGCAGGTTTCGAAATGTTTTACATTGATGAGTGTAAATAATATTTCAGTTTATTGAGGTGAATGATAAAACAATTATTCAATTCGTTTTTCGCATGATATCAACAATTATTCATACCTCTGTCAACGTTATCCGTCCCAGCTTTGCTTCGGCAGATGACATTGACCTCGGTCTTAATAATTCTAGATATCATGCTCAACTTCATCTAATAACTGTTCATTATTTAAATATTAACTTGCTAAACTGAGGGACATTTTGCTGGTATATTTGTGTGTTATAATCTTTTCGTCCAAGGAACATTAAATTTCACTGTGTAGCACAAATCATTGTGACTGTCCCACCAACTTATAATGGTTTAAATGATAGAAAAATTACAGTCCATTGAAATGAAAAAGATTAAATGCAGCCAAAACGCAAAACAAAAAAATGAAAGCCAAAATGTACTTTTTTGCCGTACAAAAACCAGGTTACAAACCCTAAACATGGCGACTGTATTATTGATGACGTCACGTTCCTCTCAAGAATACAAAGTTGTCAGACATAAAATTTCCTCGTTATTTTGTTGTCTGAGAGAAACTGGAAAGGTGGCAAAATTTTCAATCTGAAGGTGCAATAACAATTTGTCATATTTATGTCATTTTAGCCAGTAAATAGCAAGAAACTTATCACGTGCTTTCGTACGAGTATACTCGTCGTAGGTGGTCAAAGTACAGTACACCAACAGCTAATGGTGCAGTTTCCCCATTCTTGTAATTTTACCATGCATATAAAGTATGTCACGTTTTAAATTTTGCTGCGTATAATAATAATGGCAGTACTAACGAAAATTGATATCCAGTTTGGTGTAGTCTTAAGAAGTGATTGAATGTTGGTGTTATTAGGGTAAACCTACCACTAGTAGGTGCCCCTAGTGCGCATGTGTGAACGCTACTTATAAAACATATTCACGTAGGGTGACTCGCTTTCTAGGATAACCCTTCTGCTGGGGTTACCGTACCTCCATGTAAATAGTCTCTAAGCAAATTGCTTTTGTATATTTCATGGGAAATAGTCCAAACAAATTCAACGCATAATTTAATAATGATGTGAGCAAAGCCATGTAATATATTTGAAAAATGCCATTTATATAAATAACATGTAAATATATAATTCTTAATTGGTGACCAAAGTGTGTGATAGACATGTGCTGTATATAGTATTTTATGATACAACTTGCAATATACAGTATGTATATCATTAAAGTGAATCAGTGGAGAAATAATTTCTCAACAGGCTTTAAAGGTTTACACATTTAACTTTACATATTTATCATCCAGTGTAAGCTACAAGAATTTTTAGTAAGTTATAACGTTTGATGAATGTTTTCTTACTTATACATACTTTGGTCCAAAAGGTAAAACTTCGGCTATGGCCACATGTCGTGGCTCGTTCATTGAAGGAAGATATTTCCATGAAGAACTACATTCCATTTCGAAACACTCCACTGATTTAAGAATATCAACTTCATCATTCCAACCTCCCATGACAACAATTGTATCATCTGTTATAACTGCACAACAACAGGATCTCTTTTTCAACATGGATGGTAAGACTGTAATCTTACCTGTCTTAGTGTCATACATGATAACACTGTTCAACCTTTCTTTTCCATCATAACCTCCAAGAAGAACAACTTGATCTCTCCATTGAACTGTTGCCATTCCTCTCAATGGATGAGGTAATGGAGGCATTTCCTTAAATGTAAGAGTCCTTGGATCAAATTCCAAAACACTGGACAAAACTTTCTTATCTTTTCCATATCCTCCAAAAATAAGAACTTTATCATCAACAACAACAACTCCATGGTCCAAACGTGGTTCAGGCATATGACACAACTCTTTCAAAACATTAGATGTTGTACCTGTAATTTTTATTTCACTGATTAAATCTGATCTTCCTTTGCCATGAATGTATCCTCCAATGTGAAAGATTTGTTGTTTATAAACAACAGTTTGATGACCCCAATATACATAAGGAAGCTTTGTGGGAAATGTCTTCCATGTCAAAGGAAACTGTTTTATATTCAATGTCTCCATTGACTTGCAGACCACTCCTCCAACAACAAATAAATTATCATTATAAATAAATGATGAAGCCCACCTGTGTTCATTTCCATTGATGCAATGTTAAACCATTTCTCCTCCTTCCATGAAAATATTTCAGCACTCTTTGAGGAACCATGTGGGTGACCTCCAGCAATCAAAATATCACCTTTTACAGAGTTCATCACCATTTCAATTGATGATGTCAATGTTTGAACATGTTGTTCATTTATATTCATCTTTTCCAACATTTGAAACATGGCTTTCATTTCTTTCATTTCTTTGGTCACAGTAGAAAGATTTTGTTGAACATCTTTTATTTCTTTCCTTGATTCCATCATTTCTTTGGTCACTGTAGAAAGATTTTGTTGAACATCTTTTATCTCTTTCTTTGATTCCATATCCACTTTCGTAAACATTAGGACGACAAGCCATTTCATACGTCTTCCTATACAATTTAATGCCAAAATTAATACAGGAGTTGACGAAATTTTGTTTATCACTAAAAGTTCAAGCTAAAAGATAGGTTAAAATTTTCAATCGACGTTTGATAAACACAGAAGCTGAAAGCAAAGCAAAACAACGCCTAGTTTTATATTTTAACATACTTATGTTAAGCAAAACAAAGACAAAAGATAAAACAAAATAATGCAATGAAGCACATCAACAAAAAAAAAACACAACTGAGGTCAAAGTTTCTAAGGTCAAAGAAGTGGAGCTTTAGTCAATCACATAAGGCAGTTCGTTCTCGGTAAAAAACATCCTAATTAAAGGTTATTTGTTGTAGTAAAATTACGTCTTTTCTTATAATGCAGAATTAACGTTAATCCAAGAGTATTGTTACGTTTTCAGTTCAAAACTACATTTGTTTAGTCTGAATCACTGGTTGAAATTATGAAACTCGTTTGTTTTGGGTGTCACCCTAAGTTCATTGCATTTGTTTCTTTGACTGTCAATATTTCTAATCATTTTAGATACGATGATCATATATTTATAACACAAGGAAACATGTTTCAAGACACAAGAAAACATATTTCACAAAGACTGTTGAATCCGATTTGCAAATTAAAAGTTTAGACATCTTTTGTTACTATGTTTTAACAAACAAATTATTGATAACATTCAAAATGCTAAATGGAACTGACAAAAGGTTGCAAGAGTGGGAAAAATGACCATGTTAAGAATACCTTAGGTGATGAGAGATTCCTTTCCTCGCAGTTAGCCTGCAGTTGGCCACTTATCGTCGATTTCAGTTAACTTTTCAATTGGCGGTTGCCAAGTTACTTTCTTATGTTGCCAACTACATTTTTAAACATGGAATATTTGATATGAAATTGTCAACTTGAGTTGACAAGTTGTGTACTTGAGTACTGAGGTTGTGAACTTGAGTACTGAAGTTGTGAACTTGAGTACTGAAGTTGTGAACTTGAGTACTGAAGTTGTGAACCAAAGTTGCGAAGTACTGGCAAACGCGAAAGGTCTGCGGGAGTTTCTATTTCTGCGGGAATTTTATTTTTGAAGAACTGGCGCAAAATTCTAATATCGCGAAGAAGTTTTGGTCTGTTCATTTTATATTCAGCATTAATTTTCATCATCTGGGGGTTAATGCTTTTATAAATTGGTGCTCACTCTGGCTTTGAAAATTATTAATACCATTTAATTCTTCTTGGAGTTGCTTAATAGTCTCGTGTTTTTGTTTTATCTTAAACTTCAATCGATTTATGTCCGCAGAATATTCGGGATGTTTGTCTTTAAGTCCACAATAAGTAAACGCGGAACATTTTTCAAGAATACACGGTTTAGTTTGTGTGTTTCTGTGACCTCGGTGGTGGCAGTTGCTGCAGATGACTTTGTAATTAGCAATCATTGGTAATTCAGGAACATTTAAATTCATTGATTCTAATTGCTTGTTCATCTCTTCCAACTCTTGTTTGTTGTGATGAATTGAGTCTTTGATTGTCCTTCGCCGATTTTACAATGAACGTTTTGCGGGTATACTTGTATCCTATTTCAGATAGTTAAACGCAACATTATAAATTTATACATTTATTTTTATTGTGACTACAAAAACAATGACGCACGACAGTATTCAGTTTTAAGAAATATGTCACTTTACGACCTACCTCGTACGAAGCAGATGGATTTTCATCCACGTCAAGACAACTTTTTGATTGAGATTTTGAAAGTTTTAATAACGGTGACTGCTCCCGCAGCAAATCGAGATGAAATTCTAAAACTTTCCTTGCCCCAAGAGGCAAGTTCGTATTCTTTTAAAGATGACCAAGATTTTCATTACTTAACAATTTCAGCGACAGTCGTGAAGAAAATTCATTTTCTTTCAAAGCTTTTTCTATTACTTCATGACTTTGTTTCCCAATTTTATCCTTAAAACTATTAAGAAACTCCTCCAATTCATCTGCCATTATCAGTGAACAATTTATTTTGCTTTTACTTGCCTACAACACAGACCTTTCGCGTTTGCCAGTACTTCGCAACTTTAGTTCACAACTTCAGTACTCAAGTTCACAACTTCAGTACTCAAGTTCACAACTTCAGTACTCAAGTTCACAACTTCAGTACTCAAGTTCACAACTTCAGTACTCAAGTTCACAACTTCAGTACTCAAGTTCACAACTTCAGTACTCAAGTACACAACTTCAGTACTCAAGTACACAACTTCAGTACTCAAGTTCACAACTTCAGTACTCAAGTACACAACTTCAGCACTCAAGTACACAACTTCAGTACTTAAGTTCACAACTTCAGTACCCAAGTTCACAACTTCAGCACTCAAGTACACAACTTCAGCACTCAAGTACACAACTTCAGTACTTAAGTTCACAACTTCAGTACTCAAGTTCACAACTTCAGTACTCAAGTTCACAACTTCAGTACTCAAGTTCACAACTTCAGTACTCAAGTTCACAACTTCAGTACTCAAGTTCACAACTTCAGTACTCAAGTTCACAACTTCAGTACTCTACACAACTTCAGTATCAGTACACAACTTCAGTACTCAAGTTCACAACTTCAGTACTCAAACACAACTTCAGCACTCAAGTACACAACTTCAGTACTCAAGTTCACAACTTCAGTACCCAAGTTCACAACTTCAGCACTCAAGTACACAACTTCAGTACTCAAGTTCACAATCTCAGTACTCAAGTTACACAACTTGTCAATTCAAGTTGACAAGTTCATAACGAATATTCCATATTTGGAAATGTAGTTGGCAACATTAGAAAGTAACTTGGCAACCGCCATTTGAAAAGTTAACTGAAATCGACGATAATTAGACTTTCTTTTCTGCAAGTTTCTTCCTTTGTCCCAGACCACAAGTAGTGAATCTTTAAAATAGTTTAGGCCGTAACTAATGGGTTCTATTGAATTACAGGTCAGTGGCAGGAACTAGAGGCCGTAGCCACCCCAGTGCACTACACCTCCATGTGCCCATACATCCATAAGGTCTCCATGTTATTAACTGTCACTGAATCACGTGTTTGTTTCTTTGTACTTCGAAGTCTCAGTTTCCTGCATTGGCAAAGTTAAGATAGGTAGGCTCTATATTTGTGCTTTTTGTGTTGTACAAAATGTTAACGTTTGTTCAATTGCCTATAATATCAACAGTGCGAGTTTGTTTTTCTTTAATGTGCACCCTCCCCCCCTTTCCTTTAAACTTTCTGGTTGGGAATTACTACCCTATTCCTCGACCTTGGTTAATTTACTGAAACCTCGATATATCTTCATTTCATGGAAACAAATTTGGTACACCGATGTCATTTCTACGTGTTATAACTCTCAAACAATGAACATGCTCAGGTAAACATGCATAATTACAAAATCATATAGTTACATACTAGATACCTTCTTTAAATCAGAAAAGAACGGATACAGACGATTTCGTCACATTAATTATTATACATTGTATATTCGTACTTTATCCTTAAAATATTCATCAAATGTGCGGATAAAATTGTCATAAGGGTCAAATTTTCTATTACTGGGGAGTGAGAATGAGTTTTGCTGATGAAATATTTGTTAAAAGACAGCAACTGAAGCACTTCTCGACTGTTTAACTCATACTGATGGCACAAAGGTATTAGTTTTTAATTTGTATGAATGTACTTGGTAGTGTGTTTGATTAATAAAAGTAGATTTAAACCTTTTCGCTTCTTTGTTCAGGTTTTAACAAGCAACTTGACTTGTGGGGACAAAGTCTGTGTAGTAATTGGTAAAGTTGATGGTTATTGCATAGATACAAGTATTGACGACAAGATATATCATGTAGCAGACAACTTGTACATTTCTTCACAAGGTGGAGCTTGTAATCTTGAACATTTAAGGCTGCAAAAAATTACTCATATTGTTAATGTTGCCACAGGAATTGTAAATCAATTTCCAAATGTGAGTATAACTTAGATGGTGGATTTCAAATTTTAGCCTAGGCTCTTGTGTTTATGTCATATTTTGATTTTCTCTCTCAGGGTTTCAGTACAAAATGGTAGAAATTTTGGATTTACCTGACACAAGAATAGATCAGAATTTTGCTGAGCTGTCCTCATTCATTGAAAAGGGACTGGAGGATGGAAAGGTTTTGGTTCATTGGTAAGTGTAAAATGGCGATGGCCATTGATATTCTAAATGTGTGTATTGTGAAGGTTATTATGGTAAGATTTTAGGTTTTCATGTGAATGAATTAAACTTTGAATATTTTTATTAGTACATGTTGATGTTTTAACATACTTAGCAATAATTATTTACTTTGAACTTGGCTTGAAATATGACTACATCTGAGGATGTGAAAACATCAGTCAACATCAACTGAATTAACCTGAATGATCAACACATACAAACATGTAGGTTTTGCTACAGGCTTGTCAACACAATTTATGTTCTTATGGAGGATATTAATTTGATTACAAAAAACCAAATGCTGAATCAGCATGTTCACTGTTAACTTGTTGAAATGTTAATTGAAGGCTGTGTTTCACATTTGAGGCATCGTAACTTAAAGATGATGGCCATTAAACTAAAAATTGTTGCTTATGCAGCAAAATTTTGTAGCCAATGAAATGATTTTCCTTTAAATGTCCAGCAAAGCAGAAGTGTCCAGGTCTTCGACTGTTGTCATTGCTTACCTTATGAAATCTAAGAATATTGGGTTAGATGATGCATTTCATTTGGTAAAGAAAGCATGACCAACAGCAAAGCCTAATGAAGGTTTTTGGAGGCAACTGAAGGAAAATCAATTATTATTAAGTCAATCAAACACTCCAAGTGATGGAAGAACAAACAAATAATGGTAAACCATTCTTATATGATGGTTGAATATGCACATGAGCAGAGTGAAAGCACCAAAATTAATGGCGAACCATTCCTGTATGGTGCTACAACATGCACTTGAGCCATGTGAAATGAAGAACAAAATATAATGGTGAACCATTCTTGTATGGTGCTACAACATGCACTTGAGCCATGTGAAATGAAGAACAAAATATAATGGTGAACCATTCATGTATGGTGCTACAACATGCACTTGATTTATGTGAAACGAAGAACAAAATATAATAGTGAACCATTTCTGTATGGTGCTACAACATGCACTTGAAATGAAGAACAAAATATAATGGGGAACAATTCCTTAATGGTAATAGAATACAAAGCTAAACTAAACAATGTAACGCAATAAGGTTATTGTATACAATGTTTGATGTTTCCTGAAATCCAATAGTCATTGAAATTGCTGTTTTCAAATACTTAGTAAACTCAACTTATAACATAACCCTCCCTTGGCTAACTTTATTTTTAGAATTGGGTAGAAAAGATACAAGGTGAATATGAAAAACCATAATAGTCTTTGACATAATGATCTATTTAAGTTCTAATATTTTATCTTTATAAATCTTCAGCTGGAGAGCACAATCTCGTTGCTTTCTTTGGCAAATGTTATCATCTGTCATGATTAATCTGTATAAATGTTTACTTTGTTGGGTCAATGGATTTTGCAATTTGCATGCAGGTTGTGTTTCCCGAGGGGAGGGGAGGGGGGGTGATAAAGAAGTGTTTCCATGGCAACTTTCCAGCATTATTGATGTGTCCAACAATTGATATAGGTAAGAAAGTTCTATGTGAGAAAACATTAACTTTCTTGTTTAAATTCATCCCTGATGTTTGCGTTGGTGTTTTTATATTTTTGTGATACCTGTCCACATCAAATTTATCATCACACACCATAAACAGTTCAATGTTCTTTGTTTATATAGAGCCCCTCCAATGCGATTCAATGTTTCTATGGTAACTGCTATGCAGAATCTGTTCAAGTTTTGAGGGAATCAGGAAAAGTAACAGGTCTTCTGTTTAAACTTGTGGGAGAAGGTATGGATGACGCTAACACTCAGTATGATCTCATCATCTTTACTCAACATTGTCCCACCCCTTCACTCAACGTTGCTCATTACCTCATCTCCTTTACTCAATATCACCTCGCTCTTACATAGTCATTATTTAATTTCCATCACGTTGTTCAGTGAATATATTTCAGTACTTTTCATTTAAACATTTTTCATCACCTTTTCCCATTTCTATACGTTAAAAATTTCTTCCTTCAGGAAACAGCTTCGGTACATTACCAGACCTGAATAAAAAAGTTGTTGAAAGAACGGTTTCATTTGGAGACACGTGTCAGGTACGTAGACTTAATGATTTTGCAACAAATGTTTCTTCTTTTATTCCAATAGTATAGATCTGTTGTAGGTAGGTAAATAAATATACTGAACTGACGTGTTTTTGGGGAGTGTGCTAGAATAGGCCACCACAACCTGGAACGACAAAGATAACGAGATATATATATATTTTTACATGTTTGCAAATGTCGATCGTCCAGGTTAGTATAGTCCTGAAAAGGACTGTTTTTGTTGTTGTTGACTGACGTTTCGACAATCTTAGCGGTAGTCATCTTCAGAGTAATTTTGACAACCTTAGCGGTAGTCATCTTCAGAGCCATTTTGACTCTGAAAATGACTACCGCAAAGGTTGTCGAAACGTCAGTCAACAACAACAAAAACAGTCCTTCTCAGGAATATACCAACCTGGACGATCGACGTTTACAAACATGTAACGATACTCCCGGGTTCAAACCATTTACTTTATATATATATTTTATTCGTTATCGCCCTCCTCTCTTCTGCCACCCGTGAAAGATCCCTTCATTTTATAATAGACATTTTTTAAAGTTCTCTTTGTCTGTTTTCTTTGAAAAACACTATTATTGCAAGTGGAACCAGGAAGACTGGGGTCTAAACTTTTATAGCTACTGAAAAGAATATTTTGTACAAAATTTTCCATTTCAGGATGTCATGACGTGTTTTGGTTCACCTTGTAAAGTATTTTATAAAGCTGAAGATAAGGTGAATGTTTAGCAAAAGTTTCAGTAGAGGATTTGACTTAAGAAGCGTTTTAGTTAGCATTCAAGCAGTTCATTTAGTTGCAAGACGTCTATCAGACGTCTATTTTTGCTATTGTAGAGAAAAATGCGAATTTTAATCTCGGACGTACAATCGGTTGTCCATACCTTCTCGTATTATTTTGTTTATTTGACTATAACTCTGTTTCCAATATCGCTGTTTTTTATTACAACATCTTACCTTATTACAACTGATTAATAATTTTAATGTTTTTTATGTGCATTACAGCAATATCTTCTTCTCCATCTTTTCTCTAGATGCGTATCCATTCTCCCTATACATACAAACTTAATTAATCAAATAGATCCTTCTATTTCTTCAACTAATTTTACACTTGGCGTGGTAAGTCATGAATTTTATTCTTTGGCTTTTTCTACCTATTCTGTAGTGTTGTGTTGATAAAGTTATGCCTGATTGCAGGCTATATGCATAAGCTCGGGAAACAGGGATAAAAACAAGGCATGAATTGAGCCCCGAGGTGCAAAAAGTGAAGAGCGTATTTTTTGTACAATGTCTTTTGTTTAATAAATATTTGTTATAACAACGGGAGTTTGGTGTTCTGTAACAATTCGGAACAGAGTACATTTTTCTTGATTTCTTTCATTCTTAATTACCTATCTATTATTTGAGACAATAGTCTTCTTCATTCCCATAATTCCATGCATCATAAATAAAAAGGAACATAACAGCAAAAGAAATCATATTTTCCTGATTATTGGCGTAGATAAAACAAAATGGGCAGAATTGTATCAGGAGCTTGGACTTTATTATTGGTAGCTTCTTTTCTTCATGAAAGCAGTGCACTTTCTGCTCAGACATGCAAAAATATTACATCCTTTAAAGAAAAGTGTTAGAATCCTGATTTTATATTTGTCAAAAATCAAATTGTTCTTAAGGGCGAACTCGATGTTAAATTCGAGACTAGTGGACAAAATTTCTCTTGGTATTGTGGAAGCTCGAGAGGAGAAGTGGTTTTGGACAAACCGGCAAATAAAGCACGAGTGTATTATCGAAAAAATGAAGACGTAGAAATATTCATTGAAGATTGTCCCCAGGTTAAGTCTAGAAAATTCAGTGTGACAGCTGGTAAAAGTGTTTGTTACGACGAAAGTTTTTCTTATGCGTGTCCTGGGATAGAAGGAAAAAGTCATCCTTGCAGTTATGAACTAACAATTAACAAAAAAACAACTAAAGTATCTCAGGTATCTGTCGGATTGACCCTGAAAATCGTAGCAAAATTCAAAATATCTTTTTCTGCATCAAGGACACAAAAAATCGTACACACTTATGAGTACCAAGAGAAATGGTACTTTGTCGTACCTGCTGGATATACGTTTTGCTCATATAGAAAAGCCACAATTAGTTTTGGAAATCAGTCATACTACTGTTCCGGAACAGACTTCAAATTTGTTAAGTTTGGTACTATTTGCTCGGGGAATAGATTATGTAATAAAAAAAGAAAGGTCATGTTTCCATGACGAACACAACATCAGTAACAGGCCAAATTTTCATTTCGCTTTCTGTTTTATCATACTCTGTGTTTTTCTTTTCATCTAATGTAAAACGTTCATTGCCAACACCCACTCATTTATTAACAGCTAATGTGTAGTTTCTAGTATCATAAATATAAATGGACAATATAATGTTTCTGTGAAGAAATGAAAGCTTAGTTTCATGTATAAACACGAGATGTATTTTGTAAACTTACTTTAAGTACGTCGCAAAATCCTTATGGCATTTTGCGTAAAAACTAGCATAGTAACTATGAATATGTAGTTGATTAGCATTTATGTATGTGTGTGACAATAATAAAGTCATTAGTAAACTCAATTGTCAATTGATAAACTTTGTGCTTCTAGCTGCATGTTTGTGGTATGCAAAATGAAACTGCTGTGTAAACGTCATATTTATTATGAAATATAAAAATTTTTCACTTTTAGTTTTTGCTAACTTGAATGAATTAAGTTCGTTATCTTAAATGAAAGATTTTTCAAATAAACTGCTAAGGTTATCCCCTACCTATACGAGTTCCACTTTTTATTAAAAGATTCATTACAGGGAAATGATAGCAATTGCTGATAGCAATTCCATATTTGCAGTATAGTTAATTCAAATCACAAATTCGGATTTGACAAAGTCGATGTCATTTAAAGACATTAGAATTGATTCCACTAGACGAACAAAATGATACAAGATTCAACACTATGAATGCATTTAATTTTAAATCTTCACCATGCAGCAACTGTAAATTCTTCGAAGTAACATTTTATAAAAATTTTGGATATTTTGCTACCGATGTGTACACATGGTATGCAGCCAAATTGATCAGGTCCTAGTCTTTCTCCCGTATACTGTGATATAAATGTAGTTTTGATGGATGGAAACCATTATGAAAACGACTTGATTATGACCGCGCTAAATTTGAGAATTTAAGCGAGCAATGTTTTTGAAATATTTGTTACTTCACTTCAAATTTTGAATATCGGAGCAAAATTTTCTGCCTATGTTAAAGATATACAGATATATAGAGTTGTAGTGAAGGTGAATGGCACCGATAGAAAGCGAGAAGTCCCAAAGAACGTTGGCAGGCAGAGTGAAAGGAATTAAACTGCACATTTTGCCCTATTACGGTATTAAATACATCCATGTCGATTGATGAGCAAGAAAATAAATTGAACGATTATATAGAAGATTTTCTACTCAAAGGTAAATTTGTGAACAAAATTGTGTATTATCATTGACTTTTCATGTAATTATTAAGGATAAGAATATTAATAAAATTTGAAATCAGCTGTTGATTTAATTCAAACCTCCCATGTTGTTATTATTTTCAAAACCGTATTTTGTACCCCTGAAGAAATTTTGGAGTACACCCTAAACTGAGGTGTATATCATCAAGATTATGTGTGCTTTGACCTAAAATAATTTTACATGGTTTTGTGTACAAATAATGCACAAGAATTAAGTCGATACATTAAGTGTTGTTATGGATGAAGTAACCAATCATCCGCTGAAGATGTTTGTGATTTTAAGCATATGTATTTGTATTTCTACAGTAAAGAACAGGCGTGAATAAATATCAAAATGCATTTAAAAAGCCAAAGCACTGACTGCAAATGCTTATAAGAGTCCAATCATTAAAGTTGTTAAGGTATTGAAATTATATTGGATTATCTTTTCTTGTAAATGACTTATATGGCTCACCACCATATAAATGTCTGTGTCATACATCAAGACATAAGTAGGTCCAATGTAAATGACTTATATGGCTCACCACCATATAAACGTCTGTGTCATACATCAAGAGATAAGTAGGTCCAATGTAAATGACTTATATGGCTCACCACCATATAAACGTCTGTGTCATACATCAAGAGATAAGTAGGTCCAATGTAAATGACTTATATGGCTCACCACCATATAAACGTCTGTGTCATACATCAAGAGATAAGTAGGTCCAATGTAAATGACTTATATGGCTCACCACCATATAAACATCTGTGTCATACATCAAGAGATAAGTAGGTCCAATGTAAATGACTTATATGACTCACCACCATATAAACGTCTGTGTCATACATCAAGAGATAAGTTGGTCCAATGTAAATGACTTATATGGCTCACCACCATATAAACGTCTGTGTCATACATCAAGAGATAAGTAGGTCCAATGTAAATGACTTATATGGCTCACCACCATATAAACGTCTGTGTCATACATCAAGAGATAAGTAGGTCCAATGTAAATAACTTATATGGCTCACCACCATATAAATGTCTGTGTCATACATCAAGAGATAAGTAGGTCCAATGTAAATGACTTATATGGCTCACCACCATATAAATGTCTGTGTCATACATCAAGAGATAAGTAGGTCCAATGTAAATGACTTATATGGCTCACCACCATATAAACGTCTGTGTCATACATCAAGAGATAAGTAGGTCCAATGTAAATGACTTATATGGCTCACCACCATATAAACGTCTGTGTCATACATCAAGAGATAAGTAGGTCCAATGTAAATGACTTATATGGCTCACCACCATATAAACGTCTGTGTCATACATCAAGAGATAAGTTGGTCCAATGTAAATTAAACCAACTATTTACTTGTCACTTTTAGAGTTGCATGTGAAAAAGAATACAGTTTTTAGTCTGTTACGAGTACTGTATACTGTTTTGTTTGTGATGAAATAATACAATGTTTGGTATTTTAGGACAAGTCTTTCATTACCTAAGCACAACCAGTGGTGTCTAAACTAGATCCCATCCTTCAAGATCATTGGCATATCCAAGTTTGCACGTTTTTTTGCAGCTTTCCACTACATCAATATATCATTCCATTTCTTGAAATGTTGTTTTTTACCTTGTTCAGAATGTACGCCAAATGAAATTTAAAGAATTTCTAAGTGAGTACAATGTTTAGTCAAACAACCTGGCTGAAAAAGCTGATATGCAATAACATTTGCAAATCTTGCTGTTTTTGAGAAATTCTGATACACCATTGATGTCTCTATAAACTTGGGGCACTGTGTCACTACCTTTAAAATAATTAACCAATAGGTGACTAAAATATAGAATGCAAACAGATAACATATTATGTATATACTTAACATTTATATCATCACATATTTGTAAAAAGAGTTTCATTGGGACAATAATCTCATTGTTCTATGTAACTTGTGGTTCCTGGCAGATTTTCAGAAGTGTATACCTTTTAGACTTTTATCATAGAATTTTATGATTGAAGGCTAAAAAAAATTGCAAAGTAATCTTCACATTGTAACTCAACCAATACCTTCAATACTCAGTAATATAAGGCCCTCGCTGGCCTTTCCGTCGTCTTCGTGAAAACAGCTACTTACATTATTTTGCATGGAAATTTCAGCGAATACATAATTAATTTATGTGCGTTCCGTTTTTTGGGACACCTGTAGATGGACCTCTTCTGGTATCAGTTACTCTTCCTATGATAGAATTTTGTTCTTTTTATAGACAACGCAGGAAATGTCGATTGATCCATTACTGCGCAGGTGCGTTCGTACGTAGACGATCCAACATGTCTGTTAAGTCAAGTTTAGAATGAACTGTTATAATTTGTGTTTGTCAACAACCATATGTGATGTTTTGTCTTCCAGAGTGGCGGACGCTGAAGGAGGGAGAAAGTCACTATCTTACGTACGTATATTGATAATTTTATATTTGATAAAGAATGAGTAACACAACGAGTTACGACACCACGTAAATTGATCGAAATGATTTGACAAACCTCTCCCCCCAACCCTCTCCCGTAGAAAATTTAGTCAATTGACCAGAACTATTTTCCAAAATATAACCGTTCATTGCTAAGAAGTGTTGTTTTATTTGTTTATAAAACACAGAGTTTTATTTTTTTACTTTTAGATTGCCTTTGTCAAATCTCTCTGTAAAATCAATAGCTCAGGTAGGATAATTGTCAGTTGTGGTTTACCATGCCTCAAAAGCAAGAGTAAAACTGTGTTCATTATCTTTTTTATTAAGTTATCACACAGGAAAGACACCATAGCAAACAGCTATCTCCAAGTAATGGTTAAAATACAGAAATCTAAATAACGATCTGTTGTCATAGTTGCGTTTTTAGCTAAAAGTACACTATAAAGATTATGAAGTAGTTGAAGATATTAAGTCAATAATTAAATTAGTAAAGCCTGCTCCCCAGTCACCCCATAACCCGCGCATACTTGTTCTTGATATCCCAATTGCAAAATTCTTCTTCATACTTTATGTAAATATCGTAATATCAGAGAACGTAAGCATGGATAAAATAGAAAGTTTTATTTATAGATTTTGAAATATGAGCCAACAAAACTTCTACTACAATCTGTGTCGTTATTTCGCTATGAAACTTTACAAAACTTCGCTCGTGAATTGTTCGTGTTAAAAGTATGAGAGCTCCAAAACCTGGGGAGAGGTTTGTCATTCATATTACGTAAAGTCTTGTTCTTATCCAAAACTCACATAGCCACAATCACCCTCACCACCATTATCTTTATCACACATTAACCCTCACCATCATTTTTTATCCCAAACCATCATTACCGTAATCCCCAATCACCCTCACCACGTCCTTTATCCACATTACTCATTTTCATTATCCGTTCCTACTTAGAGTGATACCCATGACTGGATCACCGCTGACCAATGATGTTGCGCCCTTGGACAACAATGCTCCGAAGGGCATCATAGTATTAACAGGTGGTAAGGTTAGTGATTTCATTTTAGTGGCTACCTTTTTGATTCCTAGTATGAATTGTGTTTTATTTAAGAAATAAAAGATGTTTACTGTGCTTGCACAGGCTTATGCAAACCGAAGATTCGTTTGGGAGAACTTGAGAGCAGATCAGTGCAAGCCCGAGACCGAAGATCGAGAGTTGCACATGCTCGAGAGTTCTTACAAACGTCTTCTAGGTTTGCACAAGTCAGTGTAAACACGGAAAATATCTTTTATTTCTTTTATAAAATAACAATATTGCGAAACAGACGAACATTTTAATTTTTCCTCTAAAATGTATTCATGATCTATTTGCAAATTCTCATTGACTGGTTGATTGTTATGATTGATTTGATTGGTAGAGCTTAGACGTGTTTTGCACAGGCTAATGCAAACACAGCTCTAGACCAATCAGCACACGTGTTTCATTGTGTTTATTTTATAATGTTTGATGAAAGACCACCGTTGTATGACAGAAGTACAAAGACTCTCATACACACGGGAATTCTAAAATTTTAGACACCGTACCTAATCATTGAAGCATATAAGTACTAGACATTTCTTCATACCAACGTACATGAAATTTGAATTTTTTAAATATTTTAGATGACTAACTGCTAGTGTTTTGGTCAACTACCTGCAAATTAGTAAGGGTAGAGCACGGTCATGTGTGCTCTATGGGATTGAGAGAACCTCGCATTAGATAAAATTTCATTCACTCGGGCACCGTCTTAGAACAATGCATGGCCAAAGCCTGAAGGGATTACTTATGGTACTGAATTTAAGATGCTGTATTCTTATACAAGTATCTTTAGTTTACAGCTGATGATTGTTTTCAACGAGTATTTGAGATGTGTTCCATGTAAAGGCAGGTTTTAGTTCAAAACCTCTCGAAAGTTATAAGCCAGGGGACATTGGATTGGTATAACTCACAACCGGTTAATTTTAACACGTTCTATAAATATTTACCAGCAATGTGCGAGGTAGATTACATTGACATGAAAGGTTGAAGATTTTCAAATGATTTTGGAAAGGTTACGTGCCCAACAACCCTCTAAGAAAGGAACATTTTCATTGATGAACAAACAATAATGTCTCGGACTGATTATCGAAGCACATCATTGTTAGATGATGCAAAACGCCAAGTTCTTCTCTGGTTATGTCAGTTTTAAAAGCACTTCAACAACCTGCTCCAGTGGATGTTTCAAGTGCAAAGAAAATTGAGGTAGATAAGAAGAAAGAAGCATGTGTTAGTACGACAAATACACGACGTACTTTAAAAGTTATTAAACATGAGAAAACACGTATGTTGTTTCATTTTATGTAATACACATGTGTTTGCTTTTAACTTTGTGAGCAATTATTCGTTTTTTCAATTTTTTCGTAAGAGATATTTTAATTTTAACATGAATATATTTACATCATCGAGATGCGTTAGAAACGCGTTCAATTTCATCACCTTGTTAGTTATTCAGAGATGAAATGTAATGTGGAGTTACGACAGTCATTAGTATTCTTTAACCTCATTAATGTTTTCTATTTAGAGGATACTAATAAGGAAGTGAACAATAAAAAACAATATCTTGTTAGTATTCTCTATATATGGATTAAAAATGAGATTTAGTGAATACCATTAAGCTTTAATTGTATTCCATTGTTTTCACTCTATCTCCGCATTTTCCTTGAGCTTTAAAGCTTACATCACTTCTTGAACTTTAGCCACTATGCCATATGGAACATCAAAATACTGGACGCTGATTGGCCGAGTGACTTTGGCTGTGTTCTAATTCTAGATATCTGTAGATATGACGTCATTACTACGAAAAATTTTTTCTACCATTATTGACTGACGCCATTAAAAGCCGAATTTGAAAAAAATCAAATAAAGTGATGTTTACCACAGTTTCTAAGAACAATAAGCGAAAGATTTCGAACAAAATTGATGCAGAAAACACTAAAAAAGCGACGAAGCTGGTTTCGAACATATTTACAGCATATTTAAACAAGAAGAACTCGAAAAAACCGTTTGACAATAACAACTAAGGGCAGGTTTCGAAATGTTTTACATTGATGAGTGTAAATAATATTTCAGTTTGTTGAGGTGAATGATAAAACAATTATTCAATTCGTTTTTCGCATGATATCAACAATTATTCATACCTCTGTCAACGTTATCCGTCCCAGCTTTGCTTCGGCAGATGACATTGACCTCGGCCTGAATAATTCTAGATATCATGCTCAACTTCATCCAATAACTGTTCATTATTTAAATATTAACTTGCTAAACTGAGGGACATTTTGCTGGTATATTTGTGTGTTATAATCTTTTCGTCCGAGGAATATTAAATTTCACTGTAAAGCACAAATCACTGTGACTGTCCCACTATCTTATAATGGTTTAAATGACAGAAAAATTACAGTCCATTGAAATGAAAAATATCAAATGTAGCCAAAACGCAAAACAAAAAAATGAAAGCCAAAATGTACTTTTTTGGACGTACAAAAACCAGGTTACAAACCCTAAACATGGCGACTGTATTATTGATGACGTCACGTTCACATCAAGAATACAAAGTTGCCAAACATAGAATGTCTTCCTTATTTTATTGTCTAAGCGGAAACTGGAAAGGTGGCAAAATTTTCAATCTGAAGTTGCATTAACAATTTGTCATATGTCATTTTAGCCAGTAAATAGCAAGAAATTTATCACGTGCTTTCGTACGAGTATACTCGTCGTAGGTGGTCAAAGTACAGTACACCAACAGCTAATGGTGTAGTTTCCCCATTCTTGTAATTTTACCATGCATATAAAGTATGTCACGTTTTGAATTTTGCTGCGTATAATAATAATGGCAGTACTAACGAAAATTGATATCCAGTTTGGTGTAGTCTTAAGAAGTGATTGAATGTTGGTGTTATTAGGGTCAACCTACCACTAGTAGGTGCCCTTAGCGTGCATGTGTGAACGCTACTTATAAAACATATTCACGTAGGGTGACTCAGGGGCGGATCTAAGATTTTTCAAACATCAGTCATAAAACATCGGAGGCGCTCCGCACCTGGGAGGGTCTGAGGCTATCTCTCCTGAGAAATTTTGAATTTCAGAGCCTTAAAAATGCCATTTTAAGCGTTTCAGAGCATTACAAAATGTATTTTGTGGGCATCGTTTTTGCATAAATACAACACATTTTGGTTACGTTTTTTTTCAAAAAAAAAAAATGAAGTGAACAATACTTGAATGTTTTGCCAAATATTTAGGCTCATTATTATGCCAAATATATGGCTCATTAGCATGTCTAGGAACGTAAAATTTATTTTACATTAATGCTATATTCAAAAACAGATATAGTCTTGGTAGAATAATTTCTACCAAGTTGTCAGGCATAGACCCCCCTAGAGACCCCATTCAAACCTCTATGTAATGAGTTAAGTTAGAAATTTGGTACGACAAGTGACAGTTCATAGATATAGAAAAGCTTAGACTTCAAACCATGCAAGTTTATTGTAACCCTTTACCCATCTCCACATCAGTATTAGCAAATTCACCTTTTGAGGAAAAACTCAAAATTTTTTTCTGCCAAAGCTTAAGAAAAAATTATCAGAGTGAAAATTTGCAGATAAGAACAGCTGAATGCCATAAATGTTTATTAGGCATTTCACTTGACTATTATCGTCTTCAAGGTGTGCTATATAGCAATCACTAGTAGCATTGTATTATCAATTACAAACAGAATGTAACCAACATGTCTTTAATTATATAATTACATGAATGTTAAAATTGGTTCATGTGTTATGCTTACTGGTTATGATAAATATCATTTCATATGATCAAAGCTCGTTTAAATGTAAATCTGAAATAATTTAGTCTAGAAATTATAATGATCATCAGAAAAATTACCTAGTGATCATGAAAAATACTTTGCTGTTTTACCAAATTTCAAGGTTTATCTGCATACATAGGAAGACATTTTTACTTTATAGAAAATGCTTTTCATACATCAATAGCCCTTTGGGATTTATGGCAAACAATCTGGTATGAGCCATAGATTAACACAACTTTACATCTCTATATGAGGTGTTCAGTTAGAAAAGGGGACAATATGTGACATGGGACAACATTTCATGTGTGTGAGATACTCAGGTTTAATACCATTCCAGTCAAATTGTCAAAATAAAAAGCTTCATGGATCAGAAGACTCAAAATCACAGGTTATAGTAAACAGCTTCTCATGTAATCAATGTTAGTTTTCTAAAATCTTAAACAATATGTAGTATAACTGTCTAATGATTGAATGATCAATGATCATAAACTGAAAAGCCCCAAACATTTGTTTATGATAAAGTAAATAACAGTATGGCGCCTTATGCAGACATGCCAACCTCCAGCAAGTAAATATAGTGAGATTTTAATTTTTCCCCAAAAAAAATAGTGAGAAAAGGCTAAAAATAGTGAGACAACCAAAATATGCAGTTTGAATGTTGTTTTTTCATTTTTGCAACTTCCTGTAAAAAGTTTACAGTAATATGAGTCATGCAGAGTCATCATGATTCATCAGTCCCACTCTCTTGCTGGTTCTTATTATATTTCATGGTTGCTTTCTTGCAATCTTTCAGTAACTGATCACCCGGTTTCCATTTATGGCATGGTGTAGACTTGCAGGCTGCGCCCAGGCTCCCCTTGAACTCTGAAACCTGCAATGACCAAGCTTGATGCATTATGCCGCCGCATGGCTCGTCAATGCGATCAAGGGAGACGATCCGATCGTACTATCTGATGATTCGACACAAAGGCACTACACTAATAATTATGTCTACAAAAATTTATAGACCCTTTAAGGATTTCCATTTTATTTATCGTGAGATATACGAGAAAAATCGTAAGACCGTGAGATTTACATCAAAATCGTGAGTCTCACGATTTTATCGTGAGACTTGGCATGTCTGCTTATAGTCTTACCTTGCCTCAAAAGACAAAATTTTGATATAGGGCTATCAATTGAGTTCTATTAGACTCAATGGGGCTATCCCATATTTTACATTTACAACGCGTTCTGCGCATGTCGTGTTTGATGACGTTAACAGTAGTAAAAAAAATAACAAAAGTTCTGAGTCATCGCAATTTCTCCGTATATTCTTATACAACAGCTAAAGACGATAGAAAAATTATATTACAACTTTTGCTTTTGAGGAAAACATTCTGAAATATTCTACATTAACCATATATGATGCAGATGAGAAAGTAACTTCAACTAATAAAGTGATGAAGAAAGCGTTTAGACGAGCAGGAACTTTTATTCTTAATGCCCATACATTGGCTATTAAAATGTCGAACTGCGGTCACTAAAGACACCAGTTAACGATAAAGAAGCACGAATCGAAATCATTAAATACTTGCGTACTTTTGATTTGATCTCCAACTTAGCTTTGCTTCCATTCATCACTGATAAAGAGCGTCAAAAATTTCAGCGCACATTGACTTGAAAGAATGCAGCGAGCAGTCTTGATCTGGAACATTCATTGATCTAAATGTTACGAGAGCTGTGACATTTTGCAAAACAATATGAATTCCATGCTTGTAAAAGTAGATTGTCCAGGTTGGTAAAGTCCTGAGAAGGACTGTTTTTGTTGTTGTTGACTGACGTATCGACAACCTTAGCGGTAGTCATCTTCTGTGTCATTTACTTTAATACGAATTCCGTTTCGCCGTTTGCCAACGTGTCACATATTTCGGCATTTCATAAAGAGCACCAGATATTGCCCATAGCAAAATAGTAATTTCAATACGAATAACTAACAATACAGACAAACCCTCGTGAGTCATGACGGCTGTAATTTTATCTTAGATAGATAAACAACTGTTATATGAAGTCTATACTTAAAAAGTGGTACCATAAACTGCGTAACATGAAGTACATGAAATGATACAAGGTGTTTGAATATAACAAGGATCAAACGAGAAATCACTTTTTAACCCTCTAGAAACCGTTGCTGCCCACGGGCAACACTCACCAAACGAGATGTGTGCAAACTTTCGAAAATGTCCGGCTTCTAGAGGGTTAAAGCGTTAATTCACTTATTGTTTCCATGCTGAAAGATTCCAAAAAAGATTCAAAAGTTCTTCCATCAATGATTCGGCAGATGACATTGACCTCGGTCTGAATAATTCTAGATATCATGCTCAACCTCATCCAATAACTGTTTATTATTAAATTATTAACTTGCTAAACTGAGGGGCATTTTGCTGGTATATTTGTGCTTTATAATCGTTTTTTCCGAGGAACATTAAATTTCACTGTGTAGCACAAATCATTGTGACTGTCCCACCATCTTATAATGGTTTAAATGATAGAAAAATTACAGTCCATTGAAATGAAAAAGATTAAATGCAGCCAAAACGCAAAACAAAAAAATGAAAGCCAAAATGTACTTTTTTGGACGTACAAAAACCAGGATACAAACCCTAAACATGGCAACTGTATTATTGATGACGTCACGTTCCTCTCAAGAATACAAAGTTCTCAGACATAAAATTTCCTCGTTATTTTGTTGTCTGAGAGGAAACTGGAAAGGTGGCAAAATTTTCAATCTGAAGTTGCATTAACAATTTGTCATATGTCATTTTAGCCAGTAAATAACA